GACACACAACACAGCGATTCAACTGAGCAATTTAAGCTACTTTAGTGTTATGATGCACTAGAAGTATTTCTAGTATTGCTAAAAGACATCCTCTAATATTTCTCAGACTGATTAAGTTGAATTACTTAAGTAATGTTTTTTTTTGGAACAAGGTCATTCCAAAGGAACATGCTCCAAATAAGCTGATACCAGGATCTCTTACAATAACGATATTGTACGGCGCCTCTGCAGCCGTCCGTTCAGTTGTTATGTTTGGTTTATTTATGAACAGCAGTAGTTTGCAAAAAAATCTTGCTCTTTGTGCCCTTTGTTATTTGCATGCATAGTTAACTCGTTTGAATGCTGTCCGCGCCACTCCTGCTGTAAGGCACCGAAGTCAGAGGAAAATGACTCATCCCTCTGTGCTGGTGGGTCTGTGTGAAATGTACTGGTTTAAACAAGTTTATCTTGTCAATAAATTGCAATTCATGCATTTTTTAAGCATTTGAAATTCAATATCTGACCATCTTAAACAATTTGATCCTATTGGTCTTCTTTTCGATGCAGGTGCATTGGGAGGAATTATAATGAATGCATCAAGAATAATAATTATCAAGGATCAAAATAAACAAACCGCTGTCCAGGAAAGCATTCTATTACCAAATAGCTCCCATAGTTTTGTCATTGACTTTGATTGTTTAATCCATATGTTCAATAATTATATAAAACTATAAAATCTGTGTTGTTTGTTATATATGACTCAGATCATGTCTCAGAAGTCAATGATGCAGAAATGCAAGTAATTCTAAAGAGTTTACAAACTTTCTCAGAACTGCAGTGCATTTCTTTTGTTCTTCCTGCAAAGATAACTGTTTAAAAGTGTTTGAGAAGACAGCTCACCCTTTGTCACAGCCCTGGTGGAGCGACAGCCATGCCATTCCTTAAACTCTCTGCTCTGGCAGCAAAGACCATCAGGACCGATAGCTGGAGAACAAAGTGTTTTTTTTTTAGTGCACATAAAGGCTTGGTCAATTTCTTAGACATGGACTAACCCTACTCCTGGACCAAACTGCTATGCCACAAGTGATTCATCATTGAAAATCTTTATAGTCTAGACTGGGCCCAGGAAACCAGCCAGGACTGTTTCAGTTGTGTTTGTCAGTTTCTGTGTGAGTGATATTTGTTTTCAACAATTTCAACAGTGACACTGGCCCTTATTCAAGATTATGCATTTTGTATGACGAAGAAACATGCAGAGCGCAAAAACTGAATTACATATCATTTACATGAAGCATGCCCTAACTCATGCAGATGCTTCAGTAGGGAGCCAACTGAACAACAGCATTTAGTGGCTCGTGAGCCAATGGCTGTGCTAGTAGGAGGGGTCTAATCAAACTTTACAGAGTTAAAATTAACTGGAAAGAATAAAATATAGATAAACAAAAGATCTTCAACTTTTTAAGCAGAATGATGTGATTTTACTGATTTTTCTGCACTAGTTGGGTTTATTATATTGTTTATTTTATGGGCAGTGTCAGTAATACAAAATAAAAGCACAGTCTAACATATATTTGGTTATTTTAATGTGCAGGTAAAATAAGCATAGCACCCACTTTTGAACGGGACTGTCATGCTCACAAATTATTAATGTTGTTCTTTTTTTATAATTATTGGCATTATAGATGGCTTTGACAACATTTTTGGTCAGTTAACCACATGTAAAGCATTTTTTCATGTTGTTAAACCAATATGCTCAAATTTACACACACAATCCAACCACATGATCGCACAGATATGTCAAAGATGAAACTGATTAATTATGTGAAATTTACATGCACTCATTTTACGATTACATTTGACCGCATGCAACTTTGATAAATAAGGGCCACTGTGGTAAAAGATCAGATTAAATGCATCATAAGAACATAAATGACACTGATTTAACTTTGACGTTCAAAACTTACCAAATGCTGGGCTTCTGTCGTATGGGTTCATCTGCCATTTATTAAATACTGCAATGAAGAATGCCAAGGAAAAATGGAGGGGTAGAGAGAGAAAGAGGGAGGGAGAGAGAGAGAGAGATAACATTTAATAGAGAGAGAGAGAGAGAGAGAGAGAGAGAGATAACATTTAATAGAGAGAGAGAGAGATAACATTTAAACACAGACTCTGACTTTATGCTTACTCATGATGGTGCCATCACTAAGTGACATGATGTCTGTATGTAAATGTCAGCTGATGGTTGTGTTTGTGTAACTAGCTTACTTGCTCCCCCTGTCTTCACTGCAGCACGACCCTTTTTCCCCTCCTGCTGATCCTTCAGAGTCTCATACACGATCTGGATCACCGGGATGCTGAACGCCTACAAGGTGAACATCATGAAGAAGTGGCTCAGAACTCTGGAAATCAGGAAATACTGTGCTCTCCACGGTTTTGAATTAATTTGATAACCGTGAATGCTAGGACATGAAATTGTGTATTAAGCAGAGCTGGTCAATATGACAAATGTTATATAATGTTTACATCAAAAAGTTCTCACTATAAAAGTCATGAATTTAATTTTTTTCTGACATCTGACAAGCTGGAACTGAAAAAGTAGTGCCACATATTTAAAAACTACTGCCAAAAACTACAAATACAACTATTTCAACTATTATCAAACATTTTACACTGTAATGCACTAAAACCAATTAAACAGGGCTAATTATGCTCTCTTTGTAATCAAAGTAGTAGTTTAAAAGTGTTTTTAAGTACTGATGATATCCTCAGTATGCTCAGAAAAGCATATGGTGACATATCGTGACGTAATTTATCACAATAACGGTAAACATTGTCTGTCATATTGACCAGCTCTAGTATTAAGGTGACCATTATAGCCTTAAATACATAGCCAGGTATGTGAACAGTGCAAAGACAATGAAGCTATAGAGTATAGTGTTTGTGTATGTTTAAACTTACCCCAGTTTTTCCACTCCCAGTCTCTGCAGCCTGTGGAAGACAAATGCTTGAATAGTGGCCATAAACAAGTACAAAGTTATGACACCTGACAACTTAAACAAATCCTCTTACCATAAGAACATCACCACCACCAAGAATCAGTGGAACAGACTCAGCTTGAATGTCAGTCGGCAACCTGGCAGGTACAGATGGGAGAGTTGGATTTATTATCATTGCTTTGCTTATGTTTATGTTCTTTGTATATGGTTATACTCCGAATGCCTGTTCACATCTAAACTGAATCGCAGAAATTTAGAAAAATCGGTGGAATTCCCCTTTAAATGCAACCTGCGCCTTTAGCCAGGGTACAACTGTGCTTTTTCACAGATGTCAGAGAGAACGGTTGGCTAAATGTGTTTAAGATCATCTTCACTGATCTGAAAGAGATATTCAATTGTATGTACAGCTACCTAATTGCAAGTAGCGATGGCTAAATTTTCAAACCAAGTGTTAAATAATAATATACAATAAAGAACATAGAAGCAGACAGTTTTACAAAGAATCGCTGACTGACGAATTTAGAAACGTTTCTGCTCCAACGTTACTCATATATCTGAAAGCTGGGTTTTTAAAAACACTGTTGTAGCATTACAGTATGATGCAAAGAATAATGCAAACGACGTAAAGGCTTTTACTAAACACCAAGTGCAATCAAAGTTGTCTCCAGTGAGAAAAATCTCAGAAAATTAATTTAGAGAAATCTGCTTGCGCCGCTACCCGGTTTGTGCTAGGTTAGCTAGCTCGCTAACATTAGCGTTCACTTACAGCCAGTCCATCTCTTCAACGGCCTGAGCAATTTCAGGCATCACGCCCATTTCTGCACAAAAAGACGGTTAAGAACACAGTTAAACGCTTCACCTCACGAGGAAGAAATCATAGCACGTTAACGGGAGAATAAGAACATTAATTTACCACCAAACGCAGCCATGTTCGCCCACTGAAACTGAGCCGATGAAACGTGTACAGAGCCCGACTCCTGTCAGGGCGCAGGCCAGTAAATAAGTCCGTGTAAATCGACTAACTGCTCCGTTCAGTTCCACCTGCTCTTGTACCGGCCAGCCGTGTCGCTTCAGTCTCTCATTTGCTAATGGAGGGACAATACATTATTTAACTATGCCCTTTTTCACATTTATTCACACTTTCATCAAAAATACTGGCGTTCACACTAAATATCTGTGCACGCTGTTAAGACAGTGAGAAATGCAAAGCTCGGTTCACTTTACCGAACCGATGCTTTAGCACTGTTCGTTTCAGTGAGTCAACCGCCCGATTCAATGATTGAGTGATTCACAAGACACGTCAACCAAATTCTCTCGTCGTCCATGTACGTTTCTAAACATTTGAAGGCCATTAACAAAACTCTCATTTGGGGCCTCCAGTTAAATTATTTCGCATGAAACGATAAAAAAAATAAATACTTAATTCATTCTAATCAGAGACAAAGTTAAAAAATAAATAAATTATAAGGCAAATACGAAAAAAACAACAACAATTAATTACATCAAAGGGACATAAAATATTTAACCAACCAAATAGGCTGTATAAATAAAATAAATAGATATTAAATAAAATAAAACAAATCTAAATAAAAGTTTTTTGTCAATATTAGATGGACACAAACGTCAAAAAACTAAAAACGTAAATGTTTTAATTAATATATGTTTAATTAATTGCATTATTATTATTATTATTGCATACAATATTATAATTATAATATATTATACTGAAGTATAACAATTGTTAACTGTTATAATTTAAAATGTAATGTAAAATTATTATTAGTATTGATACATACATTAATGAATTAATTTATGTATTATTAATAATAAAAAATAATGTTTTTTCTTCACAATTTTTCTTCTAAATGTTCAGTCTATTTAGATATATTGAATAGATGCTATAAAAATCTTCGATTCAGTTGAACTTGTGAATCGGTTCGACCGATTAGTTGAAAAGAACCGGTTCTGAAGAAATATTCGTTTGCTAGTTGGGCCTCGCTTCAAGTTGAGCCTCTGAGGGCACTGTAGAGTGACGTCGGCGTCTACTGACAACATGGCTGCAGATCTCAGTCTTGAAGAAGAAGAGGAGAATATTTTATACGATTTGCTCATTAACACCGAGTGGCCGGTGGAAACGGACACGCAGGTCTGTAGAGTTTGTGTTTATTGCTTTAAAAATGAACGGACTCGATGCTAAAGCGCTACGTTTCATGCTTGCCGGGGTGTTCAAAGTGCTCAAAGCCACGTAGCTCAAGTTGAAGTCTATGTGCTGTCAATGAGAGCATTAGCATTAGCTCAATGACTTTCTCTCAGTAATGTTAAGCAGAGTGGAGTGAAAATAGTTTATTTCTGCTAGGATAATGACTTGTTTACAGTAGCTTCTCTTATCTGTAACATCACTGAGTATTTTTATTTTTTTTTATTTTGCAGTTGCGTGGATTCAAAGAATACAGCTCCTCTCTTGTAGCCAAAGCTGTGACAGGTAAGCTGCAACCGTTGAATCCCTATATTGAGCAGTGTTTTTGTTTTGAATGAAAAAAATGGGTTCTTGTGTTTGTTGACACGTCGAATTTTTAAAGACAGAGGCTCAGAGGTGATGTGGCTTGTAACAGGACAGTTTTTGCTCTGCTAGGTCTCCTCCATCTGGACATGATACCGTTGTTAAAGCTTCTTGTGGGTTGTTTATTATTTTAAAGGCGATTTCCATTGTTGTTTTTAAACTTCTACGTAATTAAATGGATGAGATGTGAACAAAGTTTCTCTACAATGAACCACTTCACATGAAACCGCTCTGAATGACTGTTTACATCTCGAGGACTGAATTATTCATAAATGTAGAAAAATTGGTAAATTTCTTTAGTTTTAAAGGGGAATTCTTGCCTAAAACTAGCATTTGGTATGTTGTTGGTCATATTATGCTGTATTTCGTAGCGCAGCACTGCATCCCTCATCCTCACTGGTTTGACAGAATTAACGATCTTGTATGTTTTTGTGTTTTTGCCCATGAATGTTATTTTACTACAAAACCCATCCTGCATTATGCCAGTACCTCATGCAACCATTGGGAATCCCTCCAATGATAATACGGAAATCCTGACTGCTAGCCTAGCCACTGAAATAGATGCTAATAAATACAGACATCATATTTGGCTTCCGAGCAGTAACATTATTGGGCTTCCTTTTGCATGAGCCAGCTTGCGGGGAAGAAAGCCTGTACTTCAAGCAGTATACCATGTATTGGCTCTAAAGCTCTGGAAGTGTTTCAGAAGTTCCTCCCATCTTCAACATACATCATTAGAAGAGGATTTTGTCTTGTATACCGTTGCAAATACTAGATGGTCTACTTCTACAATGATGTCTACAGTGTTTTCTAAATACTACCTTTTAAGAACTTTTAAAAGGGTCATCAAAGCAAAATGTGAGCTTGGCGAAGATCAGAATCAGTTTATACTATAGATGTGTGACATACTCATTCATCTGAGGGCCTTCCTCAGAGGAAAATGAGATGGGGCAAGAGGAGGGATCTATTAGTGAATTTATCTCTTTATGTTTGTTATAATGTGCATATCTTGAATAAATATTTCAGTGCTGTATCAGTGATATGCTAACATAAAACATTTCTAATGATGTTTTCCAGGACCGTTCCGCTTCATTTTGCACTACCTTTGGTACAGGTAAGTTATTATCATCATCCACACCACCTGTCCGTATTGGTTAGGAGGTAAAACATTCCAATGTGTTGTAGGAAGCATTTAATTTAATAATTTAGCTTACTTTATGTCTTACAAATTTGAGTAGCCAGTTAAGCTCAACACTCAGAATCAAACACCAGTTTGGCTGAAGATATGGGTCTCATATTAACTGAATTAGGTTACTAATGTCTATGCGGATCTACAACATATGTCTGAGTCAATTGATGTTCATCTTTTTTCTTTCCAGTAAAAAAGTTCATTTGTGTTTCAGCCCCTCAAGCTCCTCCCTACCCCCTGGACTGGTGCGCCTAGCAGCAAAGCAGATCAACTGGCAACTGGTGCTAGCAAGGTGATGCTAATGGCTTTTGACTTGAATCGGTTTTTCAGGGCTAGCAGGGAGAATGTGCAGTACTGTGTGATGTGGGCTGCAGGCCTCATGCGGCAGCACTCATTATACTAACCACACGGCAGAAATTGATGGAGCGCGAGGGTGAGCACTTGCTTGATGAGGCCTGTGCTCCTGCAGGTGCTCTGCTGATGCATTAAATAGTACCTCAAAGGATCATTAGCTCGACGCTGCTACAGGGTTTAAGAAATAAAGTGTCTGTCTGCTGCTGCTGCTGATGTCTCACTTTGCATGCTGTCTTTTGTCTGAGTTTACAGATCTGCAATAAACTTTGCTGCTGTTTCTTTTATCCAAATAGAGAACCAAAATAGTTCAGTTTTACAGTCACTGGCCACTTTATTAGAAACACCTACTAGTGTACAGTTTGAGATTGTAGCTCATCCTTTATGAGTGGTCAGTTTCTGAACACAGAGCTGGATATGTGTGGGCGGTGGACCACTCTTAACCTAGCAGTTCCATGAACATGTGTAAAAACTCTACCAGCACCACACACACAGCAATGTTGGTGTTACTGCTGTGCTGAGAATGATCCACTGACCAAATAATATATGGTCAACAGTAGTCCTGTGGTCAGAAATTGATGTATGGTGTAGAGGGCAGAGATGTGGACTCGAGTCATATGACTTTAGACTCAACTCGAGAAAATCGAGAAAGACTTGGGCCTCGACCTCGACTTCAACACCAGTGACTCAGACTTGACTCTGACTTGAGTGTCATGACTCGGAAAGACTCGAGACTTTATTTTTCATGTAAATGCATTCATTACCTGCCGTAAAATGACTGAACAGCAACGTTGTCTGATGTCTGTTACTGTGTTTTTGATGGGTTTATTTTACTTTGGAACACGAGTGAAGCGTTAGAGCTCAAGTTCGCCTCCATAAGCTGGAAACAAGAGAAGCATCAACAGCATCAATGCGCCCTTGCTCAGCACTTCAACTCCACTCTTTCTGCAGAACCTTACCAGGCGAATTGACCATTTTCCTCATGGTAGCAAAGCAAAAGAAACACAGCTCTCACAGCTTATTCAACCGATTTTAACAACTTCTGCAGGTAAAACAAGCGCAACATTCACCATGAAGCTGAAGTTGACTTCTTATTCGCCAGCTTCTTATTGGAATTTGCTGTTCCACCTTAAATGGTGCAGCAGTCAGGCGCCGGAAGGTAACTGATACACCTTTCAAGGTGGAACGGAAAATTCAAATAAGATGCTGGCGAAAAAAAAACTCAACTACAGCTGCATTGAGCTACATTCACCATCATTTTGCTGTCTTTTCTGTAAACTTTGTTCAGGTCAGTCATTTTGGTTTCTGTTGTCATCTAAATTCCATTCAAACTAGTGGTTGTTTTTAGTTGGCTGAACTAGTTTTAGTGCTGAGCTAGTTTTTATTTTAATCTTGTGCACCCAGTGTTCAAGTCCAGTAGTACTTTTCAAATTCTTTTCATGTGTAGTGCACTTCTCTTTGCGTATACCAGTATGTCTGTCATGAATATCTGTGCACAATGGATTTTGTATTTTAGTCGGGGGGTAAAAAAATTATAATGATAATAACAAATTAATATACAGACATACGCTGATGAAGTGCTATCATTAAAAGACTATAGTACTGTTAGCGTTATTCATGAGGAATGAGACTGACTTGATTAGGACTATTGAATTGAGACTCGACTATCTTGACTTGGGACTTGATTCGGGACTTGATTGTGAAGACTTGAGACGTACTTGTTACTTGCAACTTAATGACTAGTTCCCACCTCTGGTAGAGGGGGGCTTAAAAGTTGTGAATGATGACAGATTGGCTACAGTGTGTAATTGTACATCTGTAGGGGTGGGCAATATGGCAAATTTTTTTAGCCTGTTGTACTAAATTATATCACAGTATACTTTTCTGAGCATGTCATGGATAGCATCAGTACCTAAAGAACACTGAAAAAAAAACAATACAGGGCAGCCAATCAGAACAGAGCTCATTAGCATATCAGTAAAATAAAAAGAAATAAAGATGAATAAAAAAAGAAATAAAGAGAGGATATAATATGGGCATATAGAAGTAAATTAGGACCCTTTTTGTGCATCAACCAACACAAAAATACAAGAAAAAAGAATGATATGGGCTCTTTTAACAGGTTTTGCTGGTATTAGAGAGCTGTACTGGAGGAGAATTCAAGACAGTGAAAGTGAGCTATTCAGCAGTGCTGAAATGTCGTGTAGTGAAATACCATCTGATTGCTAAATTTTAGATTTGTTCGCGTGAACAGTCAGACGTTCAGGCAAGCTGAGATTTGCTCTCACTCTTTGTTTCTTATGCAAATAGTGGGGCGAAGGAGAGACAGCAGGCTTTAATTAGCTATTGATTCGCAGAGGGAAGACATCGTTATATGTGTTGAAATGTTTGTTTTTGGAGGTTTAATCCTTCAGGTGTTTTCTCACTCTATCTTCTTTTCCTCTTCCCCTTCCTCTGTTTGCAGTAATGGGAAGCTCCTGGCCGTGGTTCAGGATCAGTGTGTGGAAATAAGGTAATTCTGCCCATCGATCGGAAACGTTTGCCCTGTTACTGTAATTGGTTCATTTTTCACCTTCCTGTCATTGAATATGTTGAACTCAGCAGATCTCAGATTGATACTTTGGCACAGATGTCCCAAAACGAAGCAGTCGACTGCCTTTCCATTTTTTCCCAAACTTTTTCTTTCGCTCTTGACAGTCTGTAAAATTGTCACTGGAAAGGAAAATCTATTAGTGAGGTATTTTTTTGTGCGGAGCTGCAGTTTGAATGGATGTGATATATGGTTATAGAGCACTGAGGGAAATGGAAGCTTATCTCTGTTGCTGATTGTTAATGGCTAAAATAAGCGCCCGCACACGGTCTGTTCTGCGAGCGCATTTGAATGAATTGAAAGCTTTCCAAAAAGCTTAGAGCCAATGATGCTGTAATGACACCCCTATTAAACCAAAATGGCAAACCCAAATATGCACAAGACCTTGATCAAAGTCAGTCAGAGGCTGCTGAATTATTTGATTAAAGTCAATTTTAGCATGCAGTATGATAATGCTTGGCTCTTTCATTCTCTCAGGTCAGCTAGGGATGACTTTGGATCTGTCATCGGGAAATGCCAAGGTACAGTGCTGCAATGCCCTCTGTCATTTTCTCCTCATATCTTTCATCTTTTCATTACTTGTTTCTAATAACAACAGCTTTTTTTTATTCAGTTGCTGATTGATGAAGTAAAAATGCCTCAGTGGGTCTCATTCACCAACCATTCTTAAGAAGAAATGTCTTTTTAAAACCCGTTTGTGCAGTTTTCATGAAGATTCTGACACTCACCAATATTTTCTTATTTAGGATTTGTTCTTAGGTAAGAACAGAATCTACACACACTCAAGAGCACAAAGCTGCGAACAGTTCTGCAGTTTAAGAACACGTCATGAACCTCATGTAGACTTTCTCAGGAACAAATATAAGAAAAAACTTGGGACAATATCGGTGAATGAGGCCCATTGATCCTAAAGATGTGTCAAAAACAAGACTTTGTCTGCCTGATCTGGACTGTCGGCATTTCTGCCTGTGCAGTGATTGACAGTAGTGTTCCCATTTTCTGACAGGAGTCAGACTTTTATTCTGTATGAGAGATCAGATTATGAAAATAAACTTTCACCTGGGAGTGATCATGGTGGTGAGCATTAGTGTACAATGCAAGTAGAAATTTGACCATCATCCAAGCACTGTGTTAGCATTTTCTAAAGCATAGAACTGGACAGGCTACAAACTCCATTCAAACACCAAATAGCATTTGTTGGCTTGGTTAGACTAGCCAACACTCTGCCTGGCACCTCAGACATTCAGTCACACTATAGAGAGAGTGAGAGAAGGAGCAGATTTATCAACAAGCTCCTTTCCAAGACCAGTTTAACTTTTTATTTAAAGGGGATTTAACGCTGATGTTCTTTTGTTCTTCGTAATTCACTCATTAAACTGTAAGCAGTGTCATTCTCAGTGGTTTGAGGTAAAGGGGAATTTTTTCTTCGTAATTAAACTGTTAAAATGTAAACAAAGCCAATCAGGGAGGTTTGATGTGAAATGCTCCATTCTTGAAGAAGCTTTCTGGTCACAATTGATGATAAATTACATCACAAAATGCTTTCCTGAACATATCGGTAGCACTTAAAACCAACTGCATGGTTAATTACAAAGAGAGCTAAATTACGCCTGTGTAATTGGATTTAGTGCAAAGCTGTGTGAAACGGTAAATAAAAATCATTGTATTCATATATTTTTACATTGTGGTTTTTAGCGCAACATTACTGGTTCTTTTTTGTCTGTTTCAACTTATCAAACTTAGAGACTAAATATTGTGGTACATATCGTATATCATATACAATTCTTCAGGTATCTTGATATATTTTTGCCATATTGCTCACCCCAAGCCCATCATTCTTATCTGCTAGTGTGGCTGCAGGTTGTCACTCCAGCCAAGCAGGATTGCATGTAATTAATCAAATGAAAGTCTGCAGCCATGCTGACCCTTTGTAGAATAGGTTGGTGAGCACTGCTCAAAAGTTACTCTAGAGAAAGTTATTACACAAAATGGTTATGAATATGTTGCCTGGTATCTCAGACATTGTTTGACAATAAGGTTGCGATAAGAAAAGTTTTTGGGCTAAAATCAATTTTGTAATCCATTCATGGTGGAGTGGTACATGCAGGACATTGTAAGGCAAAAAAGTACCTCAAGGAAATGACTGTTCTATTCAGATTTACCACTGTTTTACAGTTATCAACACATACTAGTCATTTTTGATGTGTCTGTATTTGTGTAGACATCACAACCACTGCTTTTAATTCCCACTATTGTAAAATGAGTTTCTCAGACCACTCTAAATGACTTTGTTTGCATCTCAACCAGCAAATTATGCAGAAATCTTCTTAAAAATTAAATCAAATGCATTACAGTCATTATGCCAGGGTTTTAATATGCTAGCTAGCCCATTTACTAGTAGTCAGTTAGGCATGACTAAACACAATATGGGTCGTGTGGATCAGGGCTGAGGTAAGAAGCCGCCAATGAAAAATAGGCCCTAATTCTGATTGGTGCAGGGGAACACATCAGCCTCTTTGAATATAGTCACGCCCTACTCAAATCTAATGGAAGGAACACAAAAGACAGACCCTCCAGAAAATTGTGATCTGGCGGTCACGAGAAATTCATGCAAATTTAACCAGTCCTCACAGTATTTGCCAGAGCTTGTTATTTTGGTTCTGCACTAAACATGTAAATCTTTGGAATGCTTTCAAAATGAAGTATGCAGCTTGAAGTCATGGAAGGGCCGTGAAGTCACGGTCCCAGCTGCTCCGCCTACAAGTAGGAACGTCTGATATCTAAGCTAAGCTGAATGCAACTATTTCCCATGTCTTTTGTAAACAGTTGCTTGCTCTATGTGCTGTGACTGGACCTTTCGTAGCAATATAGATGCTGGTTTGAAAAAAGTTTGTGAAGTTCACTGTCTGCCCTTACACATCACATTGAATCACCAGTGTGTTGCTGGTGTCAGTCAGATGTCCCTTTCTTGTCAAAGTAGGCAGTTCTTGGCCATGTTATGGCAGAAGTCTCTCTTGCAAGTGTGAAAGCAGGGATAACAGATCACATTAACCATCAAACATTCCAGCTTAAGACAGAGCTAAGAGCTGACCTTCCTAGTTGTTTTGACAGAAACCAACTAGGCTACGTTTACTACAAGTAAAAAAAAAAAAAAGACTCTTCATTAAACAATTTTCATTTTACATTGCAACCACACTCCCTTAAAATACCTACTTAAAAATATTGAAACGCAACTGCAAAATTGAGCATGAAGAGCCTGAAAAGGGCAGAAGTCTCTCAATTGAAATGACCATTATAGTTCTTAATTGACAGTTAATGAATTAACATTCATGCAGGATATTATAGCTTAAAGCAAAACCAGATTAGCCCCTTTAAGAAAGGAGCAGAATTACATAATACAGTGCTAAATCCTTTAGTGGAAAGTTAGAGCCTGACAAGTGAACTTGAAAGAAGGCGGGAGAAAAAGTTTCAGTGAAATTCTCAGCTTTCTTCTTTACTTACTGGCACTTCAGTAATTAACAGCTGCAGCAGCGGAGACAAGAGTTTAATTAACTCTTTAATTAGCTTAATTCATGTGTACATCTTTGAGTAATTAACAGAGAAGTTGTCTAAACAGTCTAATCTGCCATCTGATATGGTGCACTGATGCAGTTGGTCTGATTTTACATTTCTTTAATGCTGGTTAGCCCCACATGTCCTTCTGTCCTTGTGTTCCCTGATATGAAGCAGCATTATCTTCTTTTTTTCTTTGCTCCAAATCCTTTTTCAGACCTCAGCTAAGTGATTTCTGATGTCGTAAAACTTCTGTGAAGTATATCATTCAGAGGCCAGGCCTGCTGCAGCTGAATGTAGGCAAGCTTCCACCCTGCTCGTCTTCTCATTTCATGGAGATGATGGAGGAGTTAATTTGCTTCAGAAAGGCACTAAACATTGGGAACTAGACTTTTGAAACACCATATTCACTTTCACCTGTTCTCGTTTCCTTTTTTCCCTCGCTCTTGCTCTCCCCTACATAATTTACAGTGCTTTAGCTGAGATAGAGGTGTGTCGCTTGGCCTGTTGTTCTCGCCCCGATAGGTTTGTCCTTTTCAATTTTTTTCTCTTTTCACAAGAGCCAGGAAATTTAACATCCGATTTCCAGGGCAACCCTCCGGAAAAGAAATAATGCCTGCAAATAAAATTAAACTTTCTGAAAAAAAGGCAGACAAAGTACAAAATAGGCCGTTTTGTAGTTCTGGTATTAAATTGCTTTCCATGGCTTGAGGTGGTGTTACCCTCTCTAGTGTCTCGAGCCTGCTGACAGATAGTTCTGGTAAAAGGTGACAGCAATAAAGTCAGTGCTTTGCTTTGCGAGACTACAACCTACGGCTTTAGTGCTAAAGTGGTAGGACAACTAAGATGTGAGCTTTAATGTTTATTATAAAACAGATGGTTCTGGTCTTAAAATCTGATTGGCTGAGACTCGTTCAAAGCTGTTTTAAAATCCACAATATACGCACACCTATGACCGCATCACAACAGCTGAATTGTGTATTACTGCACCACAGCACGAAAAAACTTGTGCTGTTAATGAATGATCTTTGACTCTCATATTACTGGCATGGCCACTGAGTATATTGATGAAGTAAGAACCCATTTTTTGTTTAAACTGAGAGGCCAGTTATGTTCTCAACGAATGTCTGGTCAGCTAGCTAACAGGTAAAATATAGCTAACAACTCCATTATTAATATCACAGGCTTGAAATAAGGTACTTACGATATAATTGACTGTAAAACGGCAATATGAAAGTCAAAAAAAAAGTCACTTAAATGGATTTAATGTGCCTAAAAACACTAAATTCACAGTAATGCACGGCCTCTCGTGGCTTATTGCTTTAGTATATGTAGACTGCCAGTCAAGAGTTTGAGGACACCTAGCTTTCCAGAATGTTTTAAAAAATGAGCAAATTAGTTTAACTTGTTTAAAGGAATAGCTGACAACAGTACTACCTTGTGTCCGACATTATCCCCTTGTTTTGATGTCAGCGCTCATCACTCTTGATTTTCAGTATGTGATTTTAAAAATAGTCTAGAGAAGACAACTGACAAATCACTGAAGATAGCACCAATCCAGTTCAGATCAATATCAGCAGAAAATGCTGGATTGGCTATCGGAAAGAGCGAAAAAAAACAAGAATCCAAATATGTAACAAATCTATCCTGAAATCTTTGAATTGACAGGCTTTATAATGTGCTAATGCTATGCATCAGCTGCTGAAAGCACAAACTCCGCACCCTATCTCTGCAACGTAAAACCAAACTTTTCATCTTCTTCCTGAATTAGAAACAATGCAAGGAACAAAAAGGAAAACCAAAATAAACAATACTTTTCACAGAATGTTGTGAAAAAGAGGATGAAGCTGAAGTTGCCTTCTTTTATGTCAGCTTTTTATTGAAATTGTTCCATTCCACCTTAAGTGGTGCTGCCGTTACATTCTGGTGCCTGCCAGCTGCTTTATCATTTAAGGTGAAGCAGAAAATTAGAAGCCAACTTTAGCCTTATGAAAAGAAGAAAACTGCTCTGGAATGAAAACTTTTCTTAAAATCTGGTTGTTTACAATGGTTCATTCATAAAGTATGACCTCAGCAATGATTTTCTCAGTACATCCCTCCGTTTCAACTCATCACATAGACCACTCTAGGACCCTTCTGCAGCCCCTTTATGTGAAATATATGAATTGTATGAAATTTATGGGATGACACTTTGATAAACATGAAGCTGTGCAAAATATAGCCAAGCGATTAGTACCTAGCTGTTACATGCTCAAAATTTTTGCAAGTATTATTTTCTTACCTCATTGAAAGTAACAGTAAAAATCAATAAAAATCAGGAATTGCTCAGATAATTTTAAAAAAAGGCAAGGTTTTGAACTTTTGATAGGTGGTGTTTGACTGCTTGTGTTAAGGTATCTGCTGCTGTGAGTTTGAAAGTTCTGTTTTAAATTACTCAGGACTGGAGAGTCCATAACAGTAAAGAGTTACAGTTTTATAAGAGATGTAGAGGCTGTATTGTATCGCAGCCCCATATTGTGATAGAACTCTGTATGATTGAGTGTGGTGCGCTTTCATTGTTGGCTGTACTCTTAAACTTGGGAAGACATTTTTATTGCGGGTCCAGGGTAGGCGAGGCAACTTTGCTGACTTAGCGCATCTCTTGCTGTAAAAGAGCTCTCTCTTATTTTTCCTCCTCCCCCCATCCCTCCTAAACTGAGATTTATGATGAGCAAATCTGCCCGGATACGATACAGAGCTCTCATCACGCATACTCAGGCGTATTAGTTCCAGCGCTGCACCCAGATTAATTAGCCTTTAGCAGACGAGATTTGATTTATGGTCTCCGCTGAGCCCTTCCTCTTACAGGTATTTATCTTGCTAAAGCGTCATCATTCATCCAGAGTTATCGGACCCTCTTTCCAGCATTTTCCAGCAGTTTTCATCCTGAATGGAAATCGCCAGCTTGCCTTTTTCCAATCTCTGCACTGCACGGGCGATAAGAGTGTTGTTTTGGAGCCTCCAGTCGTTTTGATTGACGTTTCAGCGCTGCACCATGCTTCATGGCTTTACCTAATAGAGGCCTGTACGCATTCCCACTTTGAATAATTGTATTGGATTATAGTCTGAAAGAAGTGAGTCTGTGTGTAGTCTTACTGTTTAACCGTCATTGTCCTGGGCTACCTGAATGCAAAGTCAATGAAAATCAGCTAAAGATAATTTCCAGCTCAGTGCTGCAGAAATTGCAATACCTTATCCGCTTTCTAATTCCTATTTTTAGACTGGCAATCCAATCTGCTTTTCGTTCCCTGTATTGGATACCTAAATGATCTTGTGCAGGGCGGGCGCAGATGGAATTCCAATTCTTCTCTCCTCTGAACCTCATTTGCGTGCACTTTAGCTTGACTGAGCACCCAAATCTGATCAAGTTAGAGAAAGCACACGTAAAAAAGCCCACAAAATGCCAGCTAGAAAAGTGTGGCATTTACCAACGGGATTGTAGGTGTGTTTGCTAGTGTTTGCTAGCATTTGATGAGTGTGTCAGCAGTCACAAGCAGGAGGTGTGGTATTTGAGCTGTGAAGCCTCTACAAATGTGGGGACTTTGGTGTGCTTGCAGTTCATACTGATAAAATCAAACAGAATATTTGTCAGGAAAGCCGTAAAACAATCTTTTTTGAAGGAAGGCTTGAAATATGTATAAGCTCAAGCAATAATTGATTGTCTCTGGATCTCATTGTGCGAGTTCTTCTTTTTTTTTTTTCTTCAAAAGCTAAACTGAATAGTAGAACTTTTCCAGTCATTGTCCAAAGGATGTGTGTTACTTCAGAGCTGTTTCAGAACCCAGAAACCACAGAGAAATCAATCACATAGAACAATCAGTTAAAACTGAGAATGAGGGGCTATAATTGTCAGTTTGGCATTGATGATCCATTGCACCATTGTCTTGGCAATAGCGGTGGACAACATGACACTATTATGATATCATAATCACAAATAGTAGTGGATGGTTTGGCCAAGTATTTGTATCATGGTGTAATTAAAATCTCTGAGGGTTCGGTGTCAAGGTATAAATATTTTTACAGATAAAACCATTTTAGAGTCTTTTTACCTGTTTATACCTGGATTGCCATTTGATACACTCCCAGCTATATGACCCCTTCATACATTTGTATTTTTTGTATTTGAGTAACACTGTACTAGATTGTGTTTACAAAAGTGAAAGAGAGGAATATACTGCGGCACAGTGGGCTTAAATGGGTGAACCTATTTTTGTAGGTCAACAGTTATTCAGGGATGTCTATTTTTAATAATTATCATTTTTAACAACCAAAGTAAGTCTGAAATATGTTTATTGTACAAAATAGTAGAAACAAACCTTAACAATATATAGATAAGCCTATATCAATATTGCTTTTAACAGTAGCGCCATTGTTGCACATGTTAATTTCTACAGGGCTGAATTTAGCTTCTTATTCGCCAGCTTTTTGTTTGAATTTTCTGTCCCACCTTAAATGGAACTAGTGAAAAATGTGTCCCTAGCTCAGCCATTTAGCCAAACAGGCTAACGTTAGCGTGTCACTTTATCTGTGACTGGTATATCGATATAACAGTTATGACAAATATACAAGAGGATTGGGATCAGAGCCGATCCAAGCATATTTTAATGCATGGGGAGTTGGCTATATTAAGCCTGATCCACCTCTGATCCTTCCACAGTGCTGATCAGCTACAGGTTTCATGAAAAAGAGGTCCTACTAGCAAACTTGGTTTTTGATAGCGTTAAAAAAATAATAATAATTTGATTCTGTCCGTACCAACTATCAAGTTGCCAACCTCAGAGAAATTTAAGAATCGCACTAGAAAATTGTCTTCAAAAAAACAACTCATTATTATGATTATAGTATGTAAACTGCAGGGTGCCAAAAAAACTAACGTCCTGAACAGAGGGTGGATAGTCATCCAAGGCAGTGAATTACATTAATTTTTTTTTTTAATTGTAATTTGCACTTTGGCACTGTTATTTGTGATTTTTTTTTAATCCACTGTGGCTACAGATGGCATCAGTGTGCTAGTGGATTTACTGTTTAGCTTCTGTTGTTTTGCTGTATTTTACATGTGCTATCAAACCTGTAATAGTTATTAGGTGTTGTATTCTCTCATTATATTTAACATGAACAGAGATTAGTCTAGTCTAGTGTCCCTGATAGAATCTGTGAAATAGTTCCATGTGGGCAACATTTTGAAACTGCTCAGATGTGTTGCTACTGACTGGAACAAAAGAGTGAAGGGAGTAAAATGCATTTTAATCACCGTTTCTATTTTTATTACTATTTGAAATAATTTGCGAAGACTTACGTTTTTGCATTTTTGAGGCCTGTCAGGTCAATATTTTTGGACTTTTTCTCTATATTTTTGTACGAAAATTTCCAGTGGCTGAAACTCCAGTGCATCCCTAATAGATCAAGTATGCTGTAATGTATGTAATGTGCCACTCGGTTAAGTACACCTTCTTGTTACTACACTCATTGTCCATTTTATCAGCTCCACTTACCATATAGGTGCACTTCGCAGCTCTACAATTACAAACTGTAGTGAATCTGTTTCTCTGCATAATTTGTTAGCCCCCTTTTATCCTGTTCTTCAATGGCCAGGACCACCACAGAGCAGACCTTTGCTATATAAATGTATGTACTGAAATCATCATCAGTGTTAATTATACTGTAATATGCCTTTTTGACTAAACTGCTTACTGCTATGTTGACTGTGACAAAGTGTGATGTTTAAACAATGTCATCTTCCAAGATTTTGGTCACAGAGGCACTAAGTTGGCCAGGGGTGAGTGTTCAGAGACCACCGATTTGTATCTGTAGTCTGAAGAATAAATTCACCATTTGCAGTTGCTGGCTGTGATTGAGTTCTTAACCTTTAAGAAAAACAAGGTAAGTTGTTAAGTGAGTCATTCAAAACAGTGAACGCCACAGTGCGAATCAGCCAGTCGTCTTGTTAAAATACCTTTAAAGCGAAGCGTTCTGTAATGAACTCTGTGAATAGATGAATGGCTGTAATCATAATTATGCAGCTCGCAGGTTTTGTGCAGTCTGCAGGAGGTGGGAGTTCACAGAGATGGCTCAGATGGTGCGTTCCTTTTAATGAAGCAGTGATCAGGGCCGCGAGATGAAGTTTTGATGTTTCACTTCATTTTCTGGCATGTAAGCTTTTGATTCTCAGTAGGCTGAGCTTTTGAGCTCTAATTGAAAAGCCTTCCTGATGGGCTTTTTTGTCTTTAGTGAATCGGATGGATTGGATGTGGCTCTCCGTGTCCGGTGTAACGCTGCCCTTCTGGAGGCTTTTGATGCTGCTCAGCATTGAGAGTTCACTCAGACTCATGCTAAATCGGCTGTTTATTTATGGCTTTATATCTCAAATTGATTTTTATTGCCATAAGATAAGACCGTGAAATTAAATACTTGAAAATGGGTGTGCTTAGCGGTTGGATCAGCTTATGTTTTATAGTGACAGGGGTAGTGGTTTCTGCTGTCCTATGATAAAAATTATATTCTATATAAGTAAATAAAAATATATATTATATAAATATTACATTCAATATTACATGTCTCATTTTTTGTTAAAATGGAAAGAAGTAGCATTACTCAGTCAGGAGGAAAAAAACATGCCAACATAACACAAACATGTTGTATTTGATTGAAATACTGCGTTAACTACTCGTAAATACAAAAAGGAGTTTTGGGTACTCACTTGTCGCCGTTGACTTTGTTGCAGTAAAACTTGCATGTTGTGATGATGAATCTTTGTGTTCTTGGCCTGCAGTGCCCAAAGACCCGTCTCCTCAGTGGCGTAAAGTAGCCTGGAGTCATGACTGCACTCTGCTGGCGTACACAGACAGCACCGGCACTGTCCGAGTCTTCGACCTGGTGGGAAGCGAGCTTTTCATTATCCCTCCGGTAAGACACCTCCACCTGCCTCTGTCTGTTTTCATGCCTTTCTTTGGCTGTGCTCACATTACAGGGCCAAAGTGGCGTCTGTTTTGTTTTTTTTTGATTAAATGTAAACCAGAAAAAAAAAAGCCAGATTCTTTTCAAATCAGATCTGAGCTACTTTTATGTATGGTTCTCAATTAAAGAGTGGCAAAAAGGTGTGACTTTCATTTCTTATAAAAACAATACTTACTCAGTACATTAGAAGTACATTATATCGACATGACATTTCGGTCGCTTTTGGCTGGTATTGTGAATGTAGCCTTGCTCTCTCTTTTTCTCTCTCTCTGTCTATGTCTCTTTATCTCCTCACTCCTCACTCCTTTGCCCTGTGTCTGATGTTGAGAGGAAGCTCTGTCATTTAAAATCTCTGTTCAAGCCCCAGTAGTTTTCTGATTTGTTTTGAGATGTGCTGTCATTGTTTCTGCCTTTCAAACAGGACTTTATTTCTGTTTGGCTATTTGGTTTGCTAATTTGACTTTGTTCAGCAGTGCTGGTCTGAACCGGCCATGTGTTTAGTTGTTCGTTAATTAGTTAATTTTAGGACCGACTGTCAGATGGGATTTGTTTGTAAAGTACAGCTCTCGGGTGTTGAATTATTCAGAGCTATACGCCGGCATTTTGGAACAACAAAGTTGGATCCCCAGCGCTGAATCTTCTGAAGGAAGGGACTGAAAGTTGAGCTCAATCATAGTGCTAGAATACTAGAATCTGCAGCCCGAGGGACAGAAACTAGTCACTCTTTATAAGTGACTTTTGTTGTAATTAGAGTTGGGTGACATATTGTTTTTACTGTTAATGGTGCCAGACAGCAATACTGTTTTTATTATTAGCAGTACTGAAAGGTAACAAACCCAGCTAACAGCAATGTATGTTGTTTGTTGCATGCTTCAGATAGTTTTGAAAGAACAGCAGATCTCGCTTCTGTCTGGTTAGTTGCAGCCTCAGACGTTCTATAGTAGAGTTGCAGCTAATGATGATTCACTTTATTGATTAGTCAGTTCATTATGACTCTGATTGATTAATCAGGAAAGGAGAAAGTGCAGCTAGAAGGCTGTTAATAACTAATTTACATCATACTCAATGTTTCGTTCAACTAATATAAAGATTAAATCCCAACTTATAAATCATACTTTTTATCAAGATCAGCAGTGCCACAAGATGTTGCCTTCACAATTAAAAAAAAAATGTATTTATGAATATTGATGAAAGGTGCTGAAACAAAGTAACAATGCGTGAACAAATCTTACATGGCAGTCCAGCTTCCTCTTTCGTTTATATATATATATTTTTTTTTATGGCACTTTTAAAATCAAAGTGCTTTACAATAACTGGACAAATTTGTCCAACCATCTGTTTTCCACATACAGCAAACTCATTTACACATAAAAACACTACCACACTCAACGCTATTACACTCAAACAGCACAAACAATTACTAAAGGCCAATCGATAAAAATGTGTTTTGAGCTTGGATTTAAGAGCGGTCACTACGGACGCCTGTCTGATGTCATTTGGTAGACGGTTCCTTTCTTGCCACAGCAGCAACCAAGACACAGTCTTCCACAAAGACTGTGGAACAGTCAGACGTGAGTGAGAAGCTGACCTTAAAGCTCTTTAAGGAGCATGTATACCAAGTATGTTCATAATATGTGTAAATGGCAGGCTGTGCAATGCTTTAGAAACAGAGCCACCTTATATCAGATTCTGTAGTGAACTGGGAGCCAGTGTATTGGTGGAAATACTGGAGTAATGGAGTAATGGGAGCTTTTTTATTTGTACCACTTATAATCAGGCTGCAGCTGTTTGGACTAGTCGTAACAAAGCAAGAGACATCTCATCAGGCCTGTTTAGATCTTGCATTAGCCTGCGTTTTCAGTGATTGGGTATTACTCAGTTTTTACTTGACCGTGTGAAAAGCCAGATGTAAACAAACCCAGGATGCATTGTGATCAGATTACAATCAGATTACTCAAACCACATGCACAGGTGGTCAGAGACGGTCAGAGACAAGCGTAAATGGGATGTGTCTTCATTTTCCATATACAATTATGTGAGCTCTGCCTAGCAGGTGAGAGGATAAACAGTGAAACAAAGGATGGAGGATACACAAGACTGAATTTTTCCAAACCAAGAGCCATCTTGCAGCCTGGGCTGATGAAAGTGTCCAAGCTTCTTTACTTGTATCATAAAGTGCAAAAAAGTAAACAGAGGTAAAATGGAAACAATGCCTGTGTCAATGTGCTTTTTACGTGGTGAAAGTAAAATCGGATCTCATTTAGGGACGCGTTTTAGTGAAACATGTTGATGGAATCCGGTCAGAGTTTGTATGGTTCAGAGATAAATTAAACCTAGACATGGTGTAGACATGAACGACTAACTTTATTTAATGTGTGTATCAGTTTTTAACTCATTTTCCAGCAAATCACTGGGGAAATTGGGATAACCTCTGTTTTGCTTTTTAGTTGGTCATCGATACACTTATTGAGCCTTTTATTGGAACACTGACTACCAAATTTATGGCAGAGCTGCAGAGCATAAACCCCACACTGCTCTACAGAGATGTGAGAATATGATCAGACGAGGCATCCTTCACCATCTTCCCCACAAGTGGACGAGCGCATGTGTGGTGCGCTCTGAGAGAATGGTACAGGCCTGAATGCTTGACTCTCCCACTGAAGGGGCCCGGTGGCTTTGTAGTGCTGCAAGGGGCATTTTACTGCACATGGTTTTTGCCCACTTGACCTCTCTCTCTCTCTCTCTCTCTCTCCTCTCTCTCTCTCTGTGTGTGTGTTCTGTATGTTATTTAGCACTTCTCTCTTTCTGAGTCTAGTCTAGTTCTCAGGCCTGCTCCTCCGTGAGTGGTGAGTGTGCTGAGTTTTCCCGCTCTGCTGCCCAAGCACGGCGCATATTTTCTGCCTGCTTTCAACCTGAAGCCTCACATAACCCTGGAGGACTTTCTCTGAGGACTTAACTCAATCAGAATGAGAGAAGAAGCGCTTTCTGCTGCACCGTTTCCTTTCACTTTCACCCAGTCTTCCCTCTGTCACTCTTTAGATAGCTGTCAGAGTGAAGTACTAGTCAATCCTTCACCTCCCCTGTTCTTACTAACACATCCACATCGCTGTCATCTCCTCTGCATTACTGCGTACTGTTCTGTCCTTCTGTCAGAGGCCATCAGTGCACAGTGTTCAGAGAAACTCTGTTTTTCTCTCACTTTCAAACTTACTCCTAAAAACCTGATTGTCTCTAACTTCTGCAAGGACACTCTCCCCCTCCCACACCTCTCTCATCCCCTCAGGCGGTGAGTTTCCCTGGTGATTTCAGCTATGCTGCTGCTGGATTGATCTTTCTGGAGTACACCGCTAGTGCCCAGTGGTCAGCGGAGCTGCTTGTCATCACCTATGGAGGCCAACTCAAGAGCTACCTTGTCAGGTGAGCATGCTAAACACAGAACAGGTGGTCAGATAGGCATTCGATTGTGATAAGGATAAGCCAGGCATATGATTGTGGAGTTATATTGTAAGGAAACTGGGACCATCGTGCTTGCTTCAAATTACATTACAGAGTTACTTGATCACTTTATTAACACCTACCTTGTGCTTCACTAGGTTCTATAGGCACATTCAGAAACGAGAACTAACCCAAATGGAAACCACTAGACATTAATTAGTTCTAGATCCAATTCATTTTCCACCTGCATGAGAGACAATGAAACGGTCAGTATAACCACTAGTAACGGTGTCATTGTCTTTTTGGTAATTTTCTCTAACACTATAGCATCTAATTTGGCTAATTAGCGGTCTTGCATGCTAGTTAGCTTTACTTATTGGTTGATATGAAATGATACATTGCACTGTTCTAAGCATAACCAAACAGGAAAATGTCAACATTTACACAAATTCATGTGTAGGGCTAAGTAAGGCTTCAGTTTTTTTTCTGTTGAGTGTAAAAATATGAGTAAAGACACATTCTGTGGAGGCTAGCGTAAGTGATAATAGCATTAGCGTTAGCTTCCCAACTTACATCACCTTAGCGAAATCTTTACAAAGTGATTGGTTTCAGCTGCAAGAAGAGAACACTCGAGTACTGTTAGGTCCTGTTGGTACAAGTATTAATAACCGTAAAACAGAAAAACTTCAGTACTGGACCAAGAGTCCGTGGAATAAGCTCTTTGGTCAGAAAGTGACCACTGATGAAGATCTAGAGGATGACTAACACAACTGCATCAACAGATGAACTGTAGTCTCTAACTGTACACCAGCAAAGTGAAGCTATAAGGTTACAAAATGTTTTTAGTAAATGGACAAAGATTATATTTTGTAAAGAGCTTTCGAATCAGAAGTGCATTCTGAATAGTTTTTGAATTACTTGAAGGAGCCATTCACTGAAAACATCCAATTTACCCACCTACAGTATGTCAGGGCATCCAGACAACACCATTTTAAATGTGATGCATGCCGCAGGTGACAGGTTAATGCATTAGTTTGGTGAGTAGGTAAGCACAACTGGTACAGACGGGCAATCATTAAACGTTTTAAAGCTGACTTTTAAGGAATTAAATACAATTAAATACAATGAAGCCCAAAGGCCTAAGACCACATTGAAAATCTGGTATTTTGTTCATTTAAACCTGGAAATAAACAACACAAGTCTCTTTGTGGTGTCTTATTCTCCATTCTGTCAAATTGTAATTGTATGAAATTGAATTGGATAGAGACAATAAGCAGACCAACCATGGATTTCTGTTTTTCTACATGCTAATAAACTGAGGCCACATTTTGAGCTGGAGCTGGAAGCTGGGCTTCTTTTCAGAGTCGAATGATAAGTACGTGTGTACAACAAGAGTTTTTAAATTATAATTATTAATTTAATTTAATTTTTTGTAATTCTCAGCTCAGCATGGCTTTGACTTTTGAAAGTCTTTATGTCTACCAAATTCCAGACGTCTGTTTTCGAATGAAAAGTGTATTTTTTTTTTTTTTAAGAAAAATTAGTTACTTTTCCGGGTCCTCAGTGGGACATTTTGAAATCTCGAATGAAAGTGTTTTTTCTCAGTAGCCCTCATTATTGTTGAGTGTGGGAGTAATTGTGATTTGGAGTTTTCAAAGCCTTTAGGAGATATTTCATCTAGTATTGCAACGACTTGCTCAACACATTAAGGCACATGAAGCCCTCTGACGATTTTGTATAGGCAAACACTAATGCTCCCTAATCTGCCTTTGTCCTTCACCTTCTTTTGGAAAAGAGCGCTGCTAGTTGGGCACAATTCTTGATACTTTAAAAGACTAGCTCGGTGAAAAATGTACTCACTTTTCTCCTTACTTGAAATGTAGTAGAAAAGCGAAGGCAGGCTTATTTAGCTTTGCACTGGAGCTATGAAGCTCACATAGCTAACAAGTGGAAGCATGCTATGGGGTCCAAAGGTCTGAGACGACATGGAAAATCTGTGATTTCTGTCATTTAAACCTGTAATTCCAAAGAGAATGGCTTAGAATTTTTTAATATTTTAAGCAAAAAAATGTTAGTGTTTAGACGACTCTCGGGTGGATTTGATCTACTGATTGGAGACTTTTATACAAACTTATGGAGTCCTTGAGCATGCGGCATCATTAAAGCAAAAAGAGAATTAGCAAATACTAAGAAATGATGAACATTCAAACATTTTGCTTTTTACTCATGTCGTTAAGATGATATCATTTGTTATGAAAAAACTTTTGGATCCCTCTGTATTTATTTGCTTTTGAGAGCCTATATTGAAAATAAAAATATACGTTATTTGTGTTTGTAGCCTGACTGCAGATACAAATAGAAGTAGCTGTTGAGGGAAGCCTGGTTGTTTTTAGACTGAAGCAACTCATGGAACTCACATTTTACAGGCTACAAATTCTTCACCAGGGGGCACAATTTAAATTCAGCTTTCATATATTGAGCCGCACAAAATCCGGATAAACAGGACTATTTGTGTAATCAAACATAGAGGTGAAAAGTGTTTGTAAGTACTGACGATATCCACAGTATGCTTAGAAAAGCATTGTGACACAATTTACCATGATAACGATGAATACTGTCGTATTGCCCAGCTGTAGTCAAAGATTAAGTTAAATGTTTTAACACAAAATGTTAGTGACTGCACAAAAAGCATGTTAACACATTATTTTTGAATGTAAGTGTTTACGTCAGTGTCCACTCATTTCTGTGAAGCTCATGAGCAGGTGTTAGTGTCTAGCGAGCTGTTGTTAGTATGTAGTTTGTGTCTGTGTTTGTGTAATGCTGTGTAATATGATAAGAATTGTGGAAGAAAGCAAAGTATAGATCAAATGAGGCATGAACGTCTAATTTGCACCCAAGAAAATTCAGTTTTTTCTTTGTGGTGTCATATTCCCCATTCCATCAAAAGCCATTTTATTAAGTTTGAAATAGATAGGGACCATAAGCAGACCGACCATGGGTTTCTGTTTTTCGCTTCTACCATGCTAATAAACTGAGGCCACGTTTTGAGCTGGAGTTTACTTTAAAGTTCCTTTGCTGGGCTTCTTTTCAGAGTAGAACTTGCCAAGTACAGAGTTTCTAAATTATGATTATTTATTTATTTATTTATTTATTTATTTATTTATTTATATTATCTATATTCTCAGCTCAGCATGTCTTTGACTTTTGAAAGTCTTTATGTCTACCAAGTTTCATGCGTCTGTTCTCAAGAGAAAAGTGCTAATTTTTTTTTTTTAAAAGAAGTTACTTTTCTGGGTCCACTGTGGGACACTTTGAAATCTCGAATGGAAGGGTTTTTTCTCAGTAGCCCTTATTACTGTTGAGTGTGGGAGTAATTGTGATTTGGTGTTTTCAAAGCCATTTGGAGGTATTTCGTCTGGCGTTGCAACGATTTGCTCAAGACATCAAAGCACATAAAGCCCTCTGATAATTTTGTATAGGGCAAATGCTCACGCTCCCTAAACTGCCTTTGTCTTACACCTTCTTTTCACAGAGCTAGAGTTCTGCTAGTTGCACTCCGTTTTGACTACTTTGACTACTGATGGATTAGCTTGGTGAAAAATGTACTCACACTTTCACCTTACCCCAAATGTAGTTCATAGGTAAAGACAGACTTCTGTAGTTTTGCGCTGGAGCTGTGAAGCTCATGTAGCTGACAAGCAGAAGCATGCAGAGTCCAAAAGTCTGAGATTTCTTTCATTTATTACCTGGAGTTACAAAAGAGAAGGGTTTAGAATTTTAAAATATTTAAAGCAAAGAGGTGTTATGGCATGAAAAGTGAAGAAATATTGAAGATTGTGCACTATTTTTAGGTCACTACTCAAATTTAAGCTGTGACATTGACCATGTTATGCCTTTGTACATAAAGGTCAGACTTTTTTGTAGAGTCTTGTCCTTGCCATTGAAACACATATTCAGACGACTCTTAGGTGGATTCGGTCTACTCATTAGAGGATTTTACTCAAAGTGAAGCCCATGCCAGCTCAAGTGCACGCTGTCTTTAAAGCAATAGGGGACATAGCAAATGCTACGAAGTTATGTAAATATAGATATTATACTTTGCACTCTAATTATTAGACTTGCATCTGCAGATCTGTGTGTCAAGCAAGCACTGATGGGCTATCTGATCATGTTGGGGGCAGGACGAGACTCAAATACAATACCTTAATTGTTGTCCCTGTTGTCAGGAGAGCATAATTAAAGTTTCACTCTCTCTGTGGTCAGGATGGCCCATGTCTCAGAGGAAATACGTCCAAACCTTGCCCTTCAAGCTTGGTAGCATTGTGTGATGGGAAGACGAGGCTTGTGGCTATATTGGGATGGACAATTGTGTCAAAAAAAAAAAAAAGAAACAACAAAAGATGTGCAGTGATTTAAGCATGCAGCATGTATGATGCTAATTGGTGCAGTATAAGCTTCCACTGCTTGTTATCTACATTATCCTCAAAGCTCCAGTGCAAAGCTAGAGAAGCAAACTTCAAACACCAAACATGTCTTGGCTGATTACATTTGTAGTAAGATTAGATTTTTTCCTGGACTATTCTCCTTTAGCTTGCTGCACTGAGGATTTTAGCTGGTAGATCATTGGAGCTCTAACTGACACACGTGTCATATTTGTCTAACAGTTTTTTTTCCTCCCATTTGTGTTTGTCTTTCAGTATGGGAACCAATCAAGGCTTCCAGGAGAGCCACACTTTCAGCTTTTCCACTCATTACTTTAATGGTGTGACTGCTGCAATCTACCATCCAGGCCATAGGTGAGTGCAGGCTCAGAGGGGTCTGACCTGGAAAAGTAGCTTTAGTTTTTTAGAATCTGTGTAAAAATAGTTTTTATGAATGCATTACCAGTTCACTGCACCAAGGAATTTCTGAGCTGGATTTACCAAAGCAGTTTGAATCACATGCACACATTAATGAAATAGTGAGCAATCTTTTAATCAGTTAATCAGTGATGAGAGTCTACACGCACACACACTTTGAAAAGCTTTTGTATGTGCCTTAAAGGGGCATTCCAGTCTAAAACTATATGCTACATAGTTTGTTATTTATTATATTATGTAATATTCTGCATTCTGTGTTGTATGCTCCATTTCACTGAACAATTATTTCATTCATCACTGTTCTCACACTACAATACCGAGGAGCCATTACGTGAATGCAACATACAATCTTTGGTGACCCCAGTGGTGTCAACCAGGTAGCTCAGTAAGCGAAATAAATCCAACAAAGCTAGCATTAATGTCACCATTATCTCGGTTGCTGAACAACTGAGGTATTTATTTGGTCGTGTAGCTGCCTTGCTAAATTAAGCTTATGGCACATTGTCCTCCCCTGTGACAAATCACTTAATTCTGGTTTGGCTCAAATAAGATATTTGACTTCCTGTAAGTTGCATTAGCTGTCTGTCTTCCTTCAGCATTCACCAGCTTTCAAAGACTTCTCAGAGCAGCCCACCCCCAAAACCCCACATGAAAGCTGTTGTAGTTTTTAGAGGTTGCTTTGATACATCATCGGAAGTTGGTTTTCCTAGTATTCAAACTGCTGTGGGAAGTGAGTAATCATGTTTACAACAAATGTAGTGGTGGTTACAGATTAAAGACATTTGTTTTTGGTTTTGTATGGTATAGGATTTTTAAGAATTGATTTTATTTCAATATTTTGTTCTGTAGTTTCTAATTTTTCAGGTTTTCCATTTGAACTTTTTTAGTTTTATTTTAGCAAATGTTTTCATTATCCTTCTGTAGAATTAGTTTTTAAGACTAAATTGTAAAGTGTTACATAAATAAAGGTGCATCTTATTATTATTATTATTATTATTATTATTATTATTATTTAGTTTGCAGCATATTTCCACAGCTATGGCATGATGAGACTGCTTTAAAAAAAGTTTTTAAAGATGTGTCTGAGTATTACTATTACGAGTATAATTAAAAATATTTGCTGATATTTTGGTGAAGTTGAATTTTTACAGTGTAATGGACCGCTTTAGTGTGTAACCTGTCACCAGGGGGCAGTCTTAGTCCAGTGTGACTGAGTGTGTGTATGTTTATGTGACCGGATTAGCTGTGTGGCTGCCTGCTTTCTTGTCTTATCGCCCTCTCACACTGGTCTTTGGCTTAACTGATGAGAAGTTTCTGGAAGGTCTGGCTTTGACACAATCTTCTTCTCCCTCTTTCCCGCTCTTATTTGCCCAGATCTGCAGGTCTTTTCTCTCTCCAACTCAACTCCATCTGTCTGTCTGTCTAAATCTCTCTCTCTCGCTCTCAGTCTAGCACAGGCACCCTCTCTCACTTCCTCTACCTTCAGACTCTCCCTCCACAGGCAGTGTGTGGGCTTTGTCTCTAATGTTTAGAAGAAGGCGTGACCTTCCGATCTGTGTTGCCTGTGCTGCACTCTCTGTTTGTCATAGCTTTACGTTTGTATCTCCCACACTGCATTATGATGTGGCTAGCTCAGGGAAGCTCCAATACATGGAGTTAAAACTGGATGAAAACTGAAACTGTTTCACTAATCAATATTTATTGTTTTATGTCAATTTTTAAACATTAAGTATTGTTGATAGTTTTACTGCAGCTGCATTGGTAACTCTGTATCGATATTAATTTTTTAAAAAAAAAATGTCTAGTTTTACTGCGGCTGCATTGGAAACTTTGCATTGATATTCATTTTTTAAAAATTAAATGTTGTCTAGTTTTACTGCACCTGCATTGGTAACTTTGTATCGATATTAATTTTTTTTAAAATTAAGTGTTGTCAGTAGTTTTACTGCACCTGCATTGGTAACTTTGTACCAGTATTAATTTTTTTAAATTAAGTGTTGTCAGTAGTTTTACTGCAGCTGCATTGGTAACTCTTATTCGAACAGAGTACAAAGTACAAATAGTGTAACTTTGCTAGGCTACAGTATCTGTCTATCTACTTGTCTATCTTGTCTGACTGATTAACTGTCAATCTTATTTTACTGTCTATGTATCTATCTGTCTAACAGACTGCCTGTCTGTCTATATCTATCTAGTCTGTCTGTTTGTCTGTCTATATCTATCTAGTCTGTCTGTCTGTCTGTCTGTCTATCTATCTGTTTGTCTATCTGTCTATTTATCCATCTGTCTGTCTGTCTATCTATCTGTCTATCTATCTGTCTATCTATCTGTCTATCTATCTGTCTATCTGTTTGTCTGTTTATCTGTCTGTCTGTCTGTCTATCTGTGTAAGAGCATAATTACTATAGGTATGATACAGTATATGCATTTTAAAATATTAGTTGTCTCTTTGTGTCTGATGTTGATGATGCGTCTTTCTCAGGTTGCTTCTGGTGGGCGGCTGTGAATCAAGCGACAGCAAAGCGTCCAGGGCCACCCGCTGCGGCATCACTGCCTGGAGGGTGCTGTCAGGATCTCCACACTATAAACAAGTGACCAGTTATGAAGACGACGTCAGCGCAGTAAGACACACACACACACACACACACACACACACACAGACATGGAGGAATTCTCCATTAAGTGCAGATAACTTAATTTAAATATTCCCTGACCTGTTCACAGCCGACTGATAATGGCTGTAATTTGTGAGGTGGGAAAAAATTAAATATTCTGAATAAATGTGGCTGTTAATTAGTGGAGATGGTAATCATAATCTCTTGATTCTGTCCAGTCCCAGAGGAGAGGCCTTTTCAGAATGCCCAGTTTTAGACTTTTTTCCAGGCAAAACAATGAGCAGGTAATTACCGTTCCTTTCTCTTTTGCTTCCTCTCTCCCACTTTGTCTTTTTTATGTCAGAGTCAATTAAATAATGGACTGCTTATCAACTCTGTATTGTTAATTACTTATTCTTTAAAACAATAAAAGTTTAAAGTGTGTGGCGGGTCTGTGACAGTTTGAACCAGTGCACACTGCTGTTCAAAAGCCAATTACTTGTCTTGTTACAAAATATAGTTATATATTCAGGAATTACTTATATAGATTAAAACATTATGAACTAGACAGATTCAGGTACTGATAATATAATGTAATTATCTATTTACAATAAATTGTCACATGATTTTCCTTTCTCACTTTTCAGTATGAGGCATTCTCAGTGTTATCCCCATGTTTATGCCATACTTGGGCAGCCAAGTATATTACGTCTCATTTTCAATTCACGTTTTTTTGTATAGTGCTTTTCACAAGCAGCTTTACAGAAATTCCGGTCCAAGTCCCAAGTAAGCAAGCCAAAGGCAATAGTTGCAAGGAAAAACTCCCTAGGAGCAGCAAAAAGAACCCAAGACTCAAAAGGGGAATCCAACACTGGATAGCAAAACAGTAACATAACAAGAGCAATATAAATAAAGAATTGATTGAAGTGAATATACAGTAGTGCATGTGGAATAGGAAAGAAAAATGAATGTCACTGGACAGAAGGGATTAAATTAACTAGTGATAACCAGTGACAGAAGTATTTCATTTAACCAGTGATATCCAACGACAGAAGTATTTAATTTAATCAGTGATAACCGATGACAGAGGTATTTAAATTAACCAATAATAACCGATGACAGAGGTATTTAAATTAAAAGGCGTTAATCAGTGACAGTAGTATACAGTAGTATTTAAACCTACCAATGATAACTGATTTCTACTGTTAGAAGTCTATCAGAGTAGCAATGAGAAATACATCTATGAAAACCAGTGACTGCTGGTTCTGAGTGTTTCTAAAATGACTGACACTGCTGTTTACCATCAAAGAAGTTATGAGAAGTTCAAACTTAATGTAGAATTTAAATCCAAACTTTTAACAATTTCTATCATTTTGTATTGTTATTATAAACAAGGGCACACTTTGTTTAACATGAGACGCAAAATCAGCTGCTTATGTTTTCAGCATTTCTTTAGTTCAGTGCTCACACTTGGGGGGGGGAACAAAAAACTTTACAAAATTACAAGATGTCGCACAACTTTTTTCTTCTTTTATTCTAATTAACACATAATTTAGTTGAATATCCAAGTAAGTAAAAGAAAACTAAAATGAGTTTGGATTGCTGTACATACTTGAAAAATAACCTGTATGCATATGTGTAGGACGGCGTGTTCAGGATGAGTATTTCTCCTGACGGTTCGATGCTGGCTGTAATCCACTTCTCAGGCATGCTCAGTCTGTGGGACATTCCATCGCTCAAACAGAGGAGCAGCTGGACGCAGGAGGAGCAGGTAATGAACTCCCTCTGCTGGATGTCAGTGAGCCGCGAGCAGAGGCTAGCACAGGTGTCTCGTCTTTGTAGAATAAAGGAGATAAACAGGGTTAACCTACCAACAAAATGGTTTTGCTTTTGTAAAGTACTTTTAAAGCTCGATATTTCATAATCTGAACTAAAATGGTAAAACTGTTTGAATACTGAGGTTAAGGTTTAAAGTTGGGTTGAAAATCATGATACATGTTGTGCATGTCTTCAAGTATTATGGTATATTTTGATCTATTTCACCCACCTATAGTACTATAATATAATATATGTAATACTTAATGGTTTCCCGCAGTTTTCTACAACTAAGTTCCAGAGTGACTCCACTATAATGGAAAATACTTATTTTTTTCAATGGAAAGTATGTAGAGATGGCTTTGCAACTCATTCACTCACTCCAGCACATTTAGCAGTCTGAATTGTGTCTATCAAGTTTCCCCCAGCATTAGCATGCAGGTTGCTTTTGTGTTCAATGTTTTATGAGAAGAAACAGCTATGAACCCACACTAGCAGGAGCTCATAAATGCGTGACTTTGCAGCTTTGACAATGCGAGCTTTAATAATTTGTTACCAAAATATTTTGATTTACTTGCTAATTATTTATTGAAGAGATATTTTCTGATGTCCTTTTTCCATCTGTCTGTTCATCCCTATTTGTATAGAAAATGTACATATCTATGAAGGAAGAACATAAGTTTTAGGGATGCAAATTCTTTTGACCTGTAACTGACTGCCATTAGTCTTTGATTAGTTGTTAACTGGCAAGTCTAAAATCAAGGATACCATTAAAACAGAAATTATAAAATGCGTAGTTCCATTTCTGAAATCTGATTGAGTGAGACGTGTTTGAAGCCATTGTAAAATACATGATAATATGCACACTTATGAACGCACACGTTGACTGAATTCTGTATTAGTGCACCAAAATATAAAAAAAGGTTCCTTGTGGAGCATAGTACTGATACATGGGGCCAGGTGTAGGAGTAAAGTATTACATTTTTACAGTTTTGTTGATTTTCTGAGTGAAAATAACAAAAATAAACATATCCTCTTCACAGAACACACTTAAATATGAATTTATTTGTGTTCTCTGCAGAGGATGTGTTAACTTATTTTTGAGTTAAATATGGTGGAAAAAAACTAAACATTAAACAGTAAGTGCCATAACTTTTGCACAGGCCACATTTTCTGTCCCATTTCTTTCCAATATGTTCAATTCAGCAAATAAGCAGTGGTTGTGCTTTAAAATATGCAGAAGTGTGTTCCATGTAGAGGATGTGTACTTTTTCCAACTTAGGAAAGCAACAAAACTCATAATTTGACCAGGGGCTCTATTAAACCTACCCTACTTAAGAGCCCTGTTTAAACAGAAAAATCTAAAAAGCTGCCAAAATGACTAGAATATATCAGGATGTGCTACTGGAACTTCTATGTTCTAAAGTTATATTTTTACTAGTCCAAGGTAAAATAAACATAAATGGCATTGCCGGGTCTAGCTTTAGCTCAGTGTAGCTCATTAGTTCTTGAAAGCTGTCACAGTCCACAACGTACTTCCCTGTAATTTTACACACCCATGTGTGATTTCCTCACACCACCATGCATCACACTTTCTCTCTGAGAACATGGGTGAAATAGTTGTCTGTCTTATCGCTTTCAGATGTTCTCTTTTGAGGTGGTACATTGTTTAAAAATGGTTGACCACGATAAGTCGTGCTGCTATTTTTAGCTGCACACCTAATTTTTCAGTAGGTCTTGGTTTCTGAATTCCTTGTTAGCCCCCTTTTCCCATATTTTAGTGGTCATGTGGTGGTGGCATGTCTGTGTGTGTTGTGCTGGTATGAGTGGATAGAGCAGTGCTGCTGGAGTTTTTAAACACCTCAGTGTCACTGCTGGATTGAGAATAGTCCACCAACCAAAAATATCCAGCCAGCAGCATCCTGTGGGCAGCATCCTGTGACCACTGATGAAGGACTAGAGGATGAGCGACACAAACTGTCCACACCACCACCACGTCAGTGTCACTGCAGTGCTGAGAATGATCCACCACCTAAATAATACCTGTAGGGTGAAAGGGGGCTAACAAAGTATGCAAATATATACACATACAGAGTGTGTATGTGCATATAAAAGGTAATGTGTTTGAAGTATGAATGACCCCATGTCCTAATAGTGTATAAAAGCAAACCTATATGTGTGTATTTTCCTGCTCTTGTGGTGCACAGTAAGCCTGTAATGGTTGTCTTACTGATTTAGATGCTATCATGCATTCAGCACATGTACTGTTGTTTCGCACAGAGCAGCTTACCACACTGAACAGTCTTCTTACCTTTTCTTCTTTCTCTCTTTCTTTTTGTCTGTCTGTGCCTGTTTCTCTCTTTATTGCTGAAGCCTGGATATGAGGAGATCAACCCCGAGTGGAAGACTTCACTGGAAAAAAGAAAGAAAATTAAAGGTAATAGGCTCTGCTGAGGTGGGGTTTCTGATAATGTTTTATTGAAGGATCATAAGAAGTCAGTGGCAGACATTAAAGGCTACTAACTGGCATGTGCTATCAAAGTGTACAGGCCTGCTGACCACAAAACAAAGAATGATCCCCACTGAGGGGTTTTTTTTTGTGCAGAAAAGACCTTTCCCTTTGGTAGAAACTGACAGCTGTGGGCCAAATCTGGTCTGTTATATTATTTATTTATCTAATTTTTGCTCAGTAATATTCTCATTCCTCCCTTCTGGGGAAGCTACTCTACCCCTACCAGCAATAGATAATTGCTAACAGTTGGCATCAGTATCCAGGAGTGACCAATATGATATCATTATCACAATAAATTATATCACAAAAAGCCTTTCTGAACATGTTATAGGTATTGAGGGTACTTCCACAACAGAGCAACAGGATGCCTCCTTAACCCATTTGTGCCCAACTATATTTAGTATAGAAAATGAAAAAATGATACATCTTGGTTTAAATGGATGAAATTTTATATGGTTATGTTATAGATAAACAACAGTACTCTGTGTAATTTTCATGTTTTATTCAAAATCATTTTTTGTATCATTTTCTACAAATCGCTAGTGCTATGCGAGCGAAAGACTCAATTTAAATTTTTCTCGCTGAGATGTAAACAGCCATTTAGAGTGGTATGATCTCAAAAGCAGCATATTATAAATCCTTAGTACACAGATTTCTTTACTGCAGTGGTGATGAGAACCAGGGGTCACAATGTCCACAACACAAATACAGCCATTTTATTTAACGTTTACTCCCACTGGTGAGCCTACATGTGTCTTTGAAACGGTGCAATGTTGGTAATGGTAAAAACGTAGTAAATCTGAAATACTAAGCTTCCATTGGGGACTACTTTGTCTTACAACACCCAGCATATACCTCTCTGTCATGAATGTATTTCTAAAAATACATTTTAGGCCAAAAGCTTAGTTAAAAACAAAACTATTGTAAAACATTTTTTCAAAGAGTTGAAGTGATAAAAAAGGAAAGCTCAGAGAACCATGGACAAAAGGAAGTGTAAAATTTCATGTATGGAAATTAATGAGCAAATAAGTTATGAGAGGGCTCTGAAGGTCTCAAGAATATGCGCATTTGAATCCTGATGATGCTGGGAGTCAAGATCGCATAATTGGTCCCTGGATTAATTGGATGTATTAGTGGTCACTATGTAAAATATTGAATTTGTTTTGAATAAATGTGATTAAACTTGTTCCATCTTGTCAAATCATGATTCATATTATGTATCATAAAAATATTCCAGAGTGTCATATTTTATTTTTGCCCACTCTACAAAACAAGGTCTGTTCTACCGGGTGGGACTTCCTGCACGTTGTTATGCATTGGAAATAGTTTAACAAATTATGATCATGCAGCAAGTATTAGGTACAAACAATAGAATAAAACAAGAGTAAAACAGAACGAGCGCTGACGTAGAACTAGAGAGGACTAAATAATTACAAAACAAACTATGTACATGTAATGTTTTATTCCCTTTTACTGTTAAAACAGTAAGCCATTAGGCTATGACAGAGTCCACTATCTCTGGGAAATTCTATCTGAGGAAAAGCATTGTCTGAACACGTTAAATTACCGATAGGTGAGTTATGAAAATTAGGAAAATATAATACTTCATAGTTTCCTGCAGTCATCTACAGCTGAATACCAGAGTGACTCCACTATAACAGAAAACGCCTTCTTTTCCCACTGTTTATAGGCATAGCTTTGGAACTCCTCCTCATTTAGCAGTCTGAAGTTTCTCTTTCAAGTTTCTGCAGCACTAGCATGCTTTTGTGGTTGCTTTTGTGTGCACTGTTTTAAGAGAAGAAGCAGCCATGAACACACACCAGCAAGAGCTCACAAATGCACGAATTGGCAGCTCTAATAATTCTAATAATATTTTGCGAGCTAAAATAATTAATTACCAAAATATGTTGATTTACTTGCTAATCATTTATTATTTAATGCAGCTGTGTGCAAAGGTTGGCCAAATGATATGTTTTGTTGATTTTCTAAGTGAAAATAAGTTAAGAACACACCACTGCACGTTTTAATGCACAAATACTTTTTATTTGCTGAATTTGACATGTTTAGGGAGAAAAACATAAAATGTGGCCAGTGCAAAAGTTATAGCATGTTTTATATATTATGTTTTATTTGTTTTGTCCTGTATGTTAAACTCAACAAATATTTAGAAACTGTGCACTAAACTTTTAAGTTTAGCAAAAATTAAGCACATTTAAGTGTGTTCCTTGTAGAAGATGTGGCAATTTTACTTAGAAAGTCAACAATTAATGTAGTGTGTAATCTTTTGCATACAACTGTACTGTAGGTGATATAATTCAGCTTTCAGATTCATAATTCAGATTTGATGATGATGATACTACTACTACTACTACTACTACTACTACTACTAATAATAATAATAATAATGTACTTTGATCCTTTCCAAGGTTTTTATCGTCTCTTCAACGGACTGTGCTCAGTAGGGGGCATTCACATGCTTCCTTTTTAAGAAGGTGTAACTTGTCCTGTCAGCTGCAGTGGCAGACTCCGGAAATAAGGGACAGGTTGCATGTTTATTCCTGTAATAATACCTTTCAAACGCACACACTCGCACACAACGCACACACATTCTCACAGCTCGATAAGTTATTCACAGCGTAGGTGATGGAGACGGGGAAGGAGAGAATAGAGCACTTTAATAAAGATCCGTGCTCAGATTGTAGCAGAGGTGTTAAATTCACACGCTGACATTTTGATCAGACACTTTATATCACACATTTTCAAAATGCAGCCACGTCTGCCCCCTCTGCTCCCCAGTGCCCTGTCTCTATCTCTCTGTCTCTCTGTCTATCTGTCTGTCTCTGTCTGAGTAAAAAAAAAAAGTGTGTGCTTAATTTAAGTCTCTTAACAGCTAATAAAAAAAAAATTTAAACATTTAAATCACTTATTCGTTTATCCCTTCCTGATCACTCATGTCTGTCTATGTCAACTGACACATCACTGACTAGAGTTTTCTGCATTAATTTATGCAAAAAACATTCTAAATCACTATTCCATGCACTATTTTTGTCCTCTCCAGGATGACAGGACAGTGGTAGTCTGGATCTTTACCATTTCATCATTGAAACACTGCCTCAGTATGACAATTATATTACAGTGTACTTAACATCACTGAAATGTTCTCCTCTTTTGAGACATTCTGTTTCGAACAAGTTAGCTTTAACATTACCACTTTTAGTGAATGTCGAGTAAACAATAAAAAACACAGCCAGGGCAGTATATATCTGAATTTGTATTTCGTAGTAAAAGTGTGGCCTTGGCAGTTTGTGTATCCCTCGTTTAAAAATGCATAAGAATAAGTCAGTTTGTTGTGGTTGTCCTGTCATGTACACAGTATATGGGTGTGTGGTTGCTTCTAATATTGATCACAAGCCCAATATTATTAAATTTCCCCACTTAGAACTTGTTAAGACAACATTGATGATAATGTGATAATGTAGGCTATAATTACAATTGCAACACTTGCAATTTGAAAACTGCACTCTCTTGTGATTTCGATAAGAAATGATTAATCTTTCAGCTCCACCCATCAGACACCACATGGTCCCTAATGATGGACCCCATGCTTCACGTTGAAAATGAATAGGATTCACTGTGGAGCGTTGCAACGTTGGGCCGATGGAAATGCAGAGCCATTCTTAACACTATGTTGCATTAGTGAGTAATTATGGTTCTCTCTCTTTCTTTCTCTCTCTCTCTCTGTCTCTCATTCTCTCTGTAGATAAGGAGCAGTATCAGTGTCTGATGGATGTGGGTTGGTGGAGTGATCAGGCTCTGATTCTGGCTCGCTGTTCCGGCTCTCTCACCGTCTCCTCTGTGCGCTCTCTGTCAAACCTGCTGGGGAAATCCTGCGAGTGGTTCGAACCTTCACCCCGAGTCACCTCAGCCCACGACGGAGGCTTCCTCAGCCTTGAGGTGTGTTTATTTTTACATCAGTTACTGCATGAACCCTTCTCTTTTGCAGATGTGAACCACCAGAAACATTTGTAGAAGACGAGACAGGTGTTATCTAGCACCAGAAACAATGATACTGCTACACAAATAAGATATTTCTCTGTGTGTGTAGACGATTTCCCATCATGCATAAAAAAGAAGAACTCTGTGTAGGAACCCGCAAGTCATCATGTTGTATCACTACACCAGTTAGTTCTAGTGTTAGTGTTAGTTCATTTGCTCATCTGAAGGGGGAGCCTCTGCTATTTCTGAATTATAAGACATCTTATTAGATATACGACTCTGTGAGCTGCACATACACACAAATGTCTACAGTTACACAGAATTATGTGTAGAATTATGCAAAGAGACAAGAGAGTGAAAATATAAGCAAAAAAACACTTTTAGGTTTAGTAGCCTCCATGATGTCTCAGTGAATGCATTTACTGCTTTCTTTTATTTATATTTATTTGCCTCAACCTAACGCACACAATTAAGATTTTGTTTGCTTCAGCATAACATGACTGTGGAAAATGACTGCAGTCAGCTTAAATGATTGTGATCATCCCAAATAATTGTGATTAGGCGATTATGTAATAATTGTGGCAGGACATTATTATATGATATTACGTGAAAAGCTATTATTATTATTATGTTATTTTTTCTTACCTGGGGTTAACCAAATTTCTAAATTAGTCAGAATACACACTCCTAATTTATACAGTCCATTTTAATAGAAAGACATCAGACAAAGGGCCATACTTATTCTTTAACTCTCTGATCAGTCTGTACCACTTTGGTGTATGTATTTATTACATCAGTGTGAAGTAAGGGATGAGCATTTCAGGCTTTTTTTTATGTGATGTTTGAGTTTGTAAAGTGTTAATTGACTAGAGACAGTTATGCCACTCAGCATCTATGAAGAGTTCAGATATCTCATATAAGAGTGTATATCATTAGATACAAGCTAAAATGTGTATCCAAAATCCTGATTTACTATTCAATTTTTTTTTGCTTGCATATCTATTTTAATGTTAAAAAATTGCACTTATCTCTAATTAAAATCTGTTAAGTATTCAGGATAGGGATATCAAAATAAAATGAAGTTCAACTTTTGAGTGTTCATCAATTTTTTTTTAAAATGTGCACATTTAATGCAGAAACGTCCATTCGAATGTTTAAAGCTACTTCTGCTGCAGCCCCAATTAGTTATGAACATGATTGCAAATGATGAATACTTAACAGAGGGAAGAACATGCCATTGCTGACTCTAAACAATTTATTTTGGCTTTAATTAGAACCAAATGGTGTCTTACACCTTATAGGGATATTTGCAAATATCTGTCATCTAATGAGCAGCTCAGTCATTCTGAATGAGTTCATATGTTTCCTTTACACCGATCAGGCATAACATTATGACCACCTCATTGTCACTGCTGGACTGAGAATAGTCCAACAACCAAAAATATCCTGTCAACAGCGTCCTGTGGGCAGCGTCCCTGTGACCACCAATGAAGGACTAGAGAATGATTAGCTCATACTGTATAGCAAGAGATGAGCTATCATCTCTGGCTTTACATCTACAGGGTGGACCAACAACACAGGTGCATCTAATAGAGTGGACAGTGTTTAAAAACTCCAGCAGCGCTGCTGTGTCTGATCCACTCGTACCAGTACAACACACACTAAAACACCACCACCACGTCAGTGTTATTGCAGTGCTGAGAATGATGCACCACCCAAACAGTACCTGTTCTGTGAGGGTCCATGGGGGTCCTGACTGAAGAACAGGGTAAAAGGGGGCTAACAAAGTATGCAGAGAAACAGATGGACTACAGTCTGTAACTGTAGAACTACAAAGTGCACCTATATAGTAAGTGGAGCTGATAAAATGGACAATGAACCTAGAAACAAGGAGATGGTCATAATGTTAAGCCTGATCGGTGTATAAGCTGAATGACACCAGTGGACAAGATATGCCCTCATTTGAGGTAACCAAGTGATCTGCTTCAGATAGCAGCCTTTTCTGACAAACAGGCATACCTGTTTTGAAAACCTCTCAAATCACGACTCCAGGCTGAGTTACATGTCCTGGATGTAGGACATGTAACATTGACTTGGAAGTCTCTTGTTTACTTGGGTTAGTTATCTTCTTACTAGTTTTCATTGCAAAATAATGTTTTTTTTATTGAATACATTTGAATATTTGACAAACAAACAAGGTGAAAGTTCAAATTTAATTTAAAATCCCATCTGACAGCCCTAATTCAGGATGAATAGAGTTTGCAGGCCTCCAGTCTGGACGTCGTACTTCCCTGCTCTGAGCATCTTCGCTGTCAAAAATGGAGAAATGCTGAGGGCAGCCGTCCCTAATAAATTTACCAGCCAGATGTTGTCTTTCCCCCTGTTGCTAGAGGATGAAAATCCTGGTAGGGGAACACACAGTGGCTGTTGCTGCAAAGTTAATTGCAGTGTGGCAGCGTGTCAGAAAATGTGCGCGTGTGCCTCACTGTGAATGTTCGCAGTACCAGCTTATAGAGCAGTACTGAGATATGAGGATACAGAACTAATATCAGCACTGGTGTCCATATTGCTGCTTTGTTGTTTGTAGTTGTGTCATCTGTAATAGATTTGTTACCAGCTGCTTTGGCCACACCAATAAGGCTAGCATCAAACTGAGTTGTGAGAGAGAAAGATGTGCAGATGGAGGGGGAAACAAGTGCAGGGAGGTCTGTGTGTGTCTGTGTGGTTATTGTGTTCTTCCCTGCAGCAGGTTCTTTTTCATCAGAGGCTGCTGACTCTGTTAGTTTCCTCTGGTGAGGAGACTGATGTGACTGTGATATCCCACCCTGCTCTCTCTGTCTCATGCTCACTATCTCTCTCTCCCCCTAAGTCTCTCTCCCTCTACGTGTATTTATTTATTGATTCATTTATTTGCAGGGCGTCATCGTAACCCTGCTCAATAGAAAACACCTCTGCTCTTATCTCATCCCTCTTTTATTATTATTATTACACATCTGTCTTCAGGCTTGTCGTTTTTGGGCAGGAGTGGTGTAGAAAGGGAAAGCTGGAGGGGAGGATGGAGTTGGGGAGGGGAGACGTGCGTGTATATGTGTGTATGTATTGTTTCTTTTTTGCTGCCGAATGTGTCACTGGAGGTTTCCCTTCAGTGTGCATTGTGTGAGATTTGTATGATAGATGTATGGAGAGACGGGGTGAATGGTATCTCTCTCGCTCTCACTTTCTTTTTCTGTTTGTACAGGTCTCTCTATCAAGTTCAACAGTGTTTTATTGTCTTGAAGGTTGCAATGTTCGGTTACACTTGAACTCTGACAACATTTAATATTGACAGAAGCATGCCATAAACACGTCATGGCAGATGTGCTATGCTGTCATGAGTTATCTTGACAGATGTTGTTCAGTTATACAACAGTAGCTGTGTTTACATGCAGAGCTTTTCACCAGTCTGATTGAGTTCGTTTTGGTTCTAGATTATAACTGAGGTGTTTATATGCACTCTACTCAACAGTGTGATGAAAATCTGTGTTTACATGGACTTTAAGTAATAAGATCCAAAAATTACACGCATGTGTAGATGTTACCATGACAACAAGCATCATCATCGTTATTGCGAGATTTACGATCATCCATCCTGATAACTATTTTAAGTCCTTTAAAGTTTGAAGCATAAACTTCGTCTTCGTCTTCTCTGCAGACCAGTTTCTGCTCCCTGCCATGTTGAACTTTATAAAGTCCTATTATGATGCAAATGCACATGCGCAGAACACATTTAAACTTCCTGAGTAGGAATGTAATCAGATACAGGCATTTACATGGCTATTATTCTTGTATTTAATGGATCATTTACAGGATTACCCACCTTGTTCAATCAGATAAAAATTGTTTTCATAATGGCCTCAGTCAGACTTGTCTGTTCTGATTGAGCTGTGTACATGGATGTATTCTATTCTGACTGAGCTATTAGTTGGATTATTAATAGACTATCAGGCTGTTACCAATAACAGGAATTGTGATGACAGATGCTATAATGTTTGACGTCATGATAGCACATACTGTTTTTTTCTGTGTGCTCTAGTTAGCTGTCATGAAGATCAAACATTATGACATATGCCGTGATCATTAGCGCTAATGGTGATGGGACTCTTTCTAGATGACATGCATAGATCAGTGTTAGGCAGCAGAGTTCAAGTAAAGTGTTATCAAATGTTACAAATTTCTCTTTTTTCCCCTCTTTATCTCTCTAAATCAAAAGTGTGCAAGTATTTCATCTTTGGGGGCCAAAATAAAGATTTATTGTGGGCGAAGACCACACAAAACTACACATTATAGGTTGTAAATTGAAATGGAGTTTTTAAAACTTAGTTATTCTTATAACATTACACTATTTTGTTTTGTTGCTACGAAACTTTTCTCATTGGATGAAGAGGTCGGGGGTGCTGGCTTTTGCCCATGGACCACACCTGCTTTAAACAGTACTTAAGTGGTGTGGATATTGGCAGCTGCCATATTTCCAAAGCAGTTAACAGTAAACATAACTTGTTATTTCCAAGATTGAGAGCCTGCTCTGCTGTTGTAGATGAAACGTTTTACAGAAAAGCATGCTTTGTTTAACTGCTTTCTAGAAACTTGTAGAAGCTTACAGAAAAGGGTGGAATCTGCACATTTTCCTATAGAATATGCTAGAATATGGGTAATACTTGGAGCATTGTTTCTAATTCTCTCTCTCTCGCGCTCTCTCTCTCTCTCTCTCTCTCTCTCTCTCTCTCTCCCCCAGTGTGAGATCAAACTTGCTCAGAAGCGCTCCCGTGTGGAGAGCAGTGGAGCTGCTGAGGATGATGATGGCGAGGAAGACTCTGACTCTGATGAAGAGTGCTCAGCAAAGGCTCGTTATTTTGGCTACGTGAAGCAGGGCCTGTACTACGTGACTGAGATGGAGCGCTTTGCTCCACCGAGGAAGCGTCCGCGCACGGTCACCAAAAACTACCGGCTGGTCAGCCTGAGGTCTACCACACCTGAGGAGCTCTACCACAGGAAGGTGGGTTGGATGGAGAGTTGGACCTGTAATTGTTAAGGATGCAGCAGTCCTATCTGAACGATCAGTGTTGGGACCAATCAAGGCTTTTTTTAATTGACCAGTATTGACTATATTAAGCTGTGTAATAGAAGTCCTATAAAAACAAAACATGTTTCTTATGCTATGCTCACACTACAAAAGCAGTGATTTTAATGAAGCATTTCATACAGAGTAGTTGTTAGCCTAGTATATTTTATGTAAATTTGATTGGTTTACTAACCTGAATCTATTTTAAGTAGTATAGCACTATAGTAAGGCTGTATTGTCTGATAAAATATAAATGTCATATCAGACTCAACCAATCACCAGAGAAGGACTTGATCGAGACCAAGCTTTTTCTGTAGAGTAAGATATGCAAGCTAACACTACCGCACACTAAAATGACATAGTAAGATGGGCAACCTCACCAAAATACCTTGTGCATACCAGTAAACTTTGTCAAATGGGTTAGTTTTAGTTGCTTTGGCTGTAGTGGCCAAAGTAATAGACTTATACAATACAATGTCAGTTCAGTGTGGGGGAGTGTTAGCTTGCCTGTAGCGTAAATATAGTATTACTTAAATTAAATGATTAATCATTTGTATTTTGATTGCTGAACAACCCCATAATTCAGAAGATCTAGTGCCAATTAGAGGAAAAACAAACACAGGGCAAAACATATTGGCTTTGTTTACCCAGAAAAATCTACAAAACTCTAAACTTCACACTTTACCATGTTCCCAGATGCATTTCAATTGTTCTTCACAGTCTTATGGCGAAGAACTACCACCATCAATGTAATTTCAGATGTCATAATTTTGTCAGTGTTCTATAAAGCTGGACTAACTTTGCAACTGTTACTATGAATAAATGCATTTGTGGGCGGAGCATGGATAAGCAGGGTTTTAATTGCGGCAAAGGTCTTGGGGAAGAACCCCCTGGTGAAAAGCCTGACTATGAGTTGACCTACACTATATGTCCAAAAGTATGCAGACACCTAATTAGTGAATTTAGCTACTTTAAGGTACACCCATTGTTGACACAGGCATTCAGTTGTGTCCATGTAGCTTGTCCAATCTCCATAGAAAAGCATTATAAAAGAATGGGGCACTCTGGGGCAGGCACACATGATGCCTAAGAGTGTTATAAAGCCCCCAAGAGCAACTGTTCTCTGGAGTGTGGAATGTGGAGAGCACCATCCAATACCTTTGGGATGAGGTGGAGAAGCATTTGTGATCCAGAACTAACCATCTAACATAATTACCTGACCTCACTAATGCTCTTGTGGCTAAATGCAGTCACATCCTCACTGCCATGTTCCAACATCTATTGTTAAACCTTCCCTAAAAGAGTAGAAGCTATTATTGCAGAAAAAGGGGAACAAACTTACTATTAATACCCTTGATTTCAGAAGAAACGGTATATGAACAGACGTGTACAAACTTTTGAATGTGTTGTGAATCTACTGATTTTTACATATAGAAACTGTTGACAAGACATGGGAAGTAGTTTCTAAAAGCATACCTTTTCTCAGTTAATTACTTAAAATATACCAATTAGGTTGTAAAAAAATATTTAGTCATCAGCAAGCAGGTCTGGTGTGTAAAACCAAATTATGCTTGTACAATTTGCTGGAAAAATCTAGTCATATGTTGGTTGAAAAGAAGACGGTCACCTAATGTGAGGTCATTGTTTTTGTCAAAAGAATTCAAATTTTATTCGAGGAAATAACACCTGGTCATCTCCCCCCCCCACCCCCAAGTTCAATTTAGTTTCTTATGGGGAGGTCCATTTCTTCTGGGAGGTCCAGGACCTCTTAAGCTCTAAGTTGGGTAGTGCAGGTGAGTTAGATGAGGTCCTTAAATCAGCTTGTGTTAAAGGGGTACATGGGTTACTGAAAGCATATAACCATATATCATCGTTTTATGTGGGTGGGTGGAGGAGAGAGAGGACAGGAACAGAGAGTGGGGAAAAGAGAGGAGTACGCAAAGGCCCTTGTTAGTAGTTCTGTCAGCAAAACAAGCGCCATGTAGCGCACCGAAGCACATCAGAACACACACTAACCCATTAAAGCACAACAAGACACAACAGGACACTTCCAGAGTGAAGCCCAATCTAACAGGAGGCAGAGTGGGCTTTGAATATTGAACAGTGCTGGAGTAACACGGGCCATTGCAGCCTAGCAGGTTCGCTTTCCCCAGAGTGATTTACAAGTGCGGCAGCCTTTGTTGCGGCTGGGCTAACAGAGGTGATAATACTGCTTTGTTTACGACACAGCTGCCTAATGAGGAGCCCTGGGAGCCAAGCACAGACATTAACCTCTGTGTGCTTGTGTTTGTATGTGTGTGTGGGTGTGTGTATGCAGATTGATAATGAAGAATATGGAGAAGCTCTCTCTCTGGCTCATATCTACGGATTGGACTCTGATTTGGTCTATCAGAGACAGTGGAGGAAGTCTTCTGTCAGCATTGCATCTATACAGGACTACTTGGTGAGCGCATCTACACCGTAGAAATTGTTTGTAGTTTGACCATCCATTGAAGTCCAGGCTGAAGCCCAGCTGCTTGCACGCTGTATGTTGATAGGATAGAATCCACGATTGTAGACCTCTTGAACAAATTTTAGATATTTTTGAAGGTGCTACCTTCAGCAGACTACACTGCATAGTTCTCATTAGAGGCCTGTGGATAAATTAACGAGGAGCAAACTAACAAAAGCAACAGCAGAGTGGAAAGCTGAGGTTCCTTTCAAGAGCCTCCACTGTAACAGTATTACACTAACATTGTGAATGTGAGAGAGAGGGACAGGGCTACAATCACCCTATGGAAATGATATGATCTTCATGCTGAGTTCATACACAATGAAAATAATGTTATATAAGTATTGAAAGCAGTACATGTGTGATGAGGCTTATATTGTCCACTAATCTAGCTACAATGAAATGCACTGCTTTTTAAACAGAAATTGGTTTGGAAAATGGAAATTTGACCTATTTCAGGTCAAATTTCAGCAAAAAAAAGAAAAATGTGTTTAATCTCAGTTAGCAGCGACAAAGAATACTCACAATATAATAATCACGATAAACTGTGCAAAATAATTTGATGTAATTTATGCATTTTTGCTCTTACCAGCAATATGGCTAATTAACTGGTTTGCTGTCCAAAGTTTGCTTCTTTAGTTTTGCAGCTATGATCCCAAAATATCTACGAGGCAGCAATTAGCATTGTGCAATCTGAAAACCTGAGTAATAACATTTCTTTTTTATATATAACAGCGTTGAATACAATGTCAAAAAACTACATCAGCAAGTGTGCCTGAGATTATTTAAGAACTCGACACAGTTTGAGTCAAGTATGTGACAATTTAGACATGCAGTTTGTACAATGCTAATTAGTGTACCTAAACTTCCATTACTTGTTAGCTGCCTGGGCCTTATAGCTCCAGTGCAAAATTATTGAAGCAAACTTCTGACATCAAACATGTCTTGGCTGATCAACTGCATTTGAGATAAAAGGGGACAGTTTTGTATCACTTCACTTCCTGAAAAGCTGCCAGCTGTTTTATAATAAGCTCTCTCTCTCTCTCTCTCTCCCTCCCTCTCTCTCTCTCTCTCTCTCTCTCTCTCTCTCTCGCTCTCTCTCGCTCTCTCTCTCTCTCTCGCTCTCTCTCTCTCTCTCTCTCTCCCTCTCTCTCTCTCTCTCTCTCTCTGTGTAGAGTAAGATAAAAAAGCGTTCCTGGGTTTTGCACGAATGCGTTGAGAGGGTCCCTGAGAACGTGGACGCTGCCAAGGAGCTGCTGGAGTATGGCCTGAAGGGAACAGACCTAGAGGCTCTCATCGCCATCGGCAACGGAGAGGATGGAGGCAGGTGTGTGTCTTGCACAAACTCGAACAAAACTCCAGTTATTATACAGGCTGTTGGAATCAGAAATCTACTTAATGTAAGCAGAGTTTCTAAAACTTCGTTCATCACAGGACAACAGCACAACCATGAATTGCTGTGTCCCTTGAAAGAATCTGCTGAAATAGTGTCAAATTTATCTTTCACTCAAACCTAACAAGACAGTACAACACTGCCTAAGAAACATCTCAGCATTGTAGAGAGCTTGTAAATTGCAGAACAGACAGCTCAGCTGAGATCCAACAAAACTGACTGGTCAACAGTTTCAGGTTGCATCATTTGCTGTGCCGTTATGTAAAGCTTATGAACTTCTAAAGATGATTATGCACGTCTTGATCTAATAACTAAATAGACTGCTTAACCTCAGAATGTTAGCTCTTGAAAACTCTTGTTTCAAACTCTACCCATAAAGTTAAGTAAAAAGTCAGCTTTTATGAATTTTCACCACAACAAAAATGTCCTACTTTCATGTTTGTAACTTGACAGTTTCTTCGTAGCAAAGTCAGCTGTTTTTCTTTGCCACCATGATCCAGTCGAACTGTGAGTTGTCACCACACCAAAAAGGTTCCACTTTTAATGTATGTTAAATAGGGATTTACTCGTAGGGAAATTTTATTGCCGTTTCTGATTTCTTTACTGCCAAAGGACCTTTCTTTGGCCAATTTTTATTAGCCATTTTTATCTGAAGCTCAAATTTTGTGGACTGCACAAACACATGAACACATTTCCAGTGCTTCTATTAGCCAAACTTGTAGTGTGAACAATATTATTTGCCCTTTAATGGGCCAAAACTGGCTTTTAAATTTGATGTGTTTAATCAGTTGCCTGTTTAAATAACTTGAATTAAATAAATTACTGCATTGAATGTAAGAGGCAACTGGCTGTTTAGCATAATGAGTCATACATTATTATGCTGTGACATTTTGGTACAGGTATAGCAGCAGCAGTGTGAGTGCACTTACCTGACTCACCACCACAGAGTTCTGCCAAAAATAATAATGAATTCACCTTTTACCGATTTCGTAAGCCTTAATTCCTCATTCCATGCAGTATTAGCCCACTTCTGTTCTTGCATTCATCATGAATTGTTCACATAAAATAAAGTGCAGCTGACATTTTTAAATGCTGTAAAAACATAAACAGGTAAAAAAAAAACACATGCTATATTTCCTTGTTGTATAATAGTGTCTAATGTTTGGTGTTAAATCAGTAATTAGAAAAACAAAATTGGCAAAAATTCCTTTCTGACTGAGTATGATGAGATATCTACTAAAATGTAAATTGCTGTACCATGGAAATCTAGTCTTGTTTGAAAAGTACTTAAGTCAGTAAACCTTCCATTCACATTGACTCTAAGTTAAACGAGTAATGCTCTGTTAGTGTTGTTTGCACAGTGACTTTTAGAGCTGTTGTATTGACCTCTCTACTCACACTTAGGTTCATCTTACCGGGTGATGTGGACATTGATGACTCTTCTTATGAAGATTTCCAGTCGATGGAGGAGGAGATGGAGCGGAAGAAAGAGAGAGAGGCAGAGAAGAGACAGGAGCTGCTTAAGAAAGTGGACTTTAGCAAGTATGATTTCAGTCACTCACACATACACACACACTGGGGAATGCAGGCTCATTTGGAGAGGCACAATACAGCTCATTCTCAAGAGATTAGTAAGATAGGATGGGAGAGAGAGAGGTGGAAGAGGGAGTCAGAGAAAGAGAGAGAGAAAAAAACAGGAGTGGGAAAAATAGAGAAAGGGATAGGAAGTGAGGGGGGAGGGAAAGGGAGTGAGAGAAAGACAGCATGGAGATAGAGAGTAAGGGAGTATGAGAGAGATAGGTGGAAAAGGAAGTGATGGAAAGAGTGGGGAAGGGATTTGGGGAAAGACAAGAAGGGAAAATGAGTGAGAGAAAGAGAGGGGGAAAGGAGAGCAAGAGGTGAGACAGAGAGCAAGATACAGAGAGTGAAAATGGATTTAGGACAAGAATGAAAATGGAGAGAGAGCAAGAGAGAGACTGAAGGGAAAAAAAGAGTGAGAGAGAGAGAGAGAGAGAGAGAGAGACAGAGAAAGTGGAGGAAAAGGCATGGGAGATGGGATGAGTGAGAGGAAAAAAGAGAGACCGTGAGAAGGAAGAGAGAGGGAGAGAGAAAAGTGGGGGAAAGGAAGTTAGAGATGGGGAAAGAGTGAGAGAAGGAAAAGTAAACTAGAGAGACAGAGGAAGGTGGGGCTAAAGAGTGAGAGATGGAGAAGGAGTAAGAGAAGGAAAAGAGAGTGAGAGACATAGAAGGGAGAGAGGGAGAGACAGGAAAAAGGAGGAAAGGGAGTTGGAGATGGGGAAAGAGTAAGAGAAGGAAAACGGAGTAAGAGAAAGAAAGAAGGAGAAGGATAGAGAGGAAGAGACAGGAAGGTGGGGGAAAGAGTAAGAGAAGGAAAAGAGAGAGAGAGAGAAGGAAGAGAGAGGGAGAGAGTGAAAAATGGGGGAAAGGAAGTTGCAGAAATGCAGAAAGAGTGACAGAGAGAGAGAGAGAGAGAGAGGGAAAGAGTGGGAGAAAGAGAAGAAACAGGAGTAAAAGATGGGGAAAGGAGAGAAGGATAGGGGTGAATTTAAGAGAGAGTGGTTTGGAGGCAGGGAGAGGCAGAGGGTAAAACTAAAGTGTGTTTATAGATTTGTTTCGAATCTGCATGAGGTCATTTATGCTGATGTTGTTTGGTGCCCAAAGCCCCCCTAAATGAACGAGTCTCCTGTGAGTACCTACAGAGGGTCAATCAGGAAGAGGCTAACATTATAAACACTGCTAATCAGAACACTTGTGTTTACGCACAGAAAACGTGTACAATTTCAGCACATGACACAATCCAGATACTTAACTCTCACCCTAATGCTCTCATCACACAGCCTTATCAGCTGGATCTAATTTCCACTTAATTACAGTTTGTACCCAGCAGTGCCTCAGCTCAGTATGTCGGAGTGCATTGACTCTGAGCGCTGTGTATGTGAATATTGCAGATTGAACTTTCTTGGAATAGCCTGTATTATGTCCATTTAATTTTGTCCATCAGAGAAAGAGAGAGAGTGCTTGGGGCCTGTGCTTTGATGCAGTCTCATCTCCTCAGCAGCGCTGTAGCGATTATGTAGTGGAAAACCAAAGGCCGTCATTTTGTTAATTCCTTTTTAACTGCGCACCCATTACAGCAATGGAGCAATATCGATCAGACTGCTGACTTTGCTGAAAGTCTGTGCGTGTGTACTTGAGATGGGGGGCTACTCAGTGAGCCAGGCTTTGTTCTCTCACTCAACTAATGCTCAACACGGTGCAATTACCATTAAACTGACTGTTCAAACTGTGAAACTACAGCTTGTGTCCTCCGTTACAACCCCTCGCCGGCTACGGCTACAGTCCACCAGCTGGTCATAAAGCACATTAGTCTAACCATTCAGCCATGCCTGACTGCAAGAGTTCATCAAATAAAGCTAACCTGGGTGATACCAGAAGTTATGCTGCGTTTCACTGAACTCAGAAGTGGAAAGTCGGAGCTCGGAGTTTGGAATTACATCATTTTCGGCTTACGTGGTTTCAAGCAGGAAAAAAACATCTCATCTTTTTGAAAGCAAGTATTGTTAACAAGAAGTTAGCCAGTTAAGGTTAGTCATTGATTTTTTTGATCTCATAAAGCGAGCAATTATCTCTACAGGAAACATCTGAACTCAGTAATGAGAATGGGTGTCCACATACTTTTGGCCTTATGTGTGTTTATATTATATTTAAAAATAATTGTCAGTCTTTCCTTATTATTTTATTGTATTCCCACTTCCTTTGTCTTTTCTTCACTTCATTTTAGTCTCTTTATTTTTATCTCCTTAACTTAATCTGTATTTTTTATCTAAAGATCTCAGTGTTTTATTCTTCCGTGTGTGTGTGTGTGTGTGTGTGTGTGTGTGTGTGTGTGTGTGTGTGTGTGTGTGTGTGTGTGTGTGTGTGTATGATATTCCTCCACGCATGAACGGATTTATTTCATTACTCTCTCTTCATGCATATTAGAGTGCAGCTCTTTGAAGTGGAGTCCTGCTGATGAGTGAGAGATATGAGCGATAGAAGAGGGAAGATATAGAGATGGAGGGATAATGTGAGATTAGGAGAGACTGCTGGAAGGCTGCGTAATGAAGTGAACCCCCCTGGTCGTTTGTGTGTGTGTGTGTACCGTGCTCTTTAAGGTTGCTGCTTGTTTTTGATTCTGGGTGGACTCACCCCAGTGGTCAGTGAGGTGACTGTAAGGCCGCGTGTGAGTGAACGCCGCCTGTGGTCCTGCTGCTGGGGGGGTTGTTTGTCTGAGTGAACACATTCTGTGCTCTGGATGGTTTGTGTGATTGCATGGGTGTATGCTGTGGTCTTCAATGCCTGTGCTGTTTTTTTTTCTGTGTAGATTGACTCTGGAGCAGAAGGAGCTGTGTAGAAGCAGGCTGAAGCTGCTCTGCTATCTGGACCGCCTGGCCACATATGAGGTAAGGCTGACCTAGGGCTGATTTGATTATGGCATAAATCATAATCGTGATTATTTTGGTCAGTGTTGGATCGTGATTGTTACTTGATTACTCATTGACTTTGGAAATATCATGCATTTATTGAACTTTAAAGAAAAAAACGTTTTTTTGTTCCAGTGGATTCTTTGAACGTTAAATGCAATTCAACTGGAAAAAAAAATACATGCAAAAAAGTTATATGTATCCCAGCGCTATCCCATACATTTTTATGTATATATATATATATATTTATTTATGTATGTATGTATGTGTACAAGATCATGGTGTAGTGCACTTCCACAACCTACTTATCTTGTTTTCATAATTGTTGGAAGCCAAAATCGTAACTGAAAATAAAATTTGATTAATCGCCCAGGCCTAATTCTAAAAAAAAAAAATAAATAAAAAAATAAGAAAACTCTTCTCTTCATGGTATCATGTTTTTTTGCCTCCCATCTGAGCAAAGGAATATTTTATTTAATCAGGGGTCTGTTGCAGCGTTTGTATTTTTGCACTTAATATAGCCGCACAATGCAGACGTCACATGATTAAAATTAGCTAGGACTGTCACTATTACCATATTAGTAATTATCAAAATAATTGGTAATATCATTAATTGAGTAATCTGTGTTTTTTCTGCTTTTGTGAAATAAAAATAGATCTACCTGAACAAAAAAAATATTATAAGGGTTTTTTCTAAGACTTTAGAATACTTTATACTGAAAAATATATAAAGAAAGTCTTTGAAGATATTATATAAAACATATGAAATATATAAATATTGAGAAAACATCATGTGGCAAAAAATGCATAGACATATTTATGTCTGTCAGGCTTGGTTTCTTACTCTAAGTGTATGAGACTTTAAAAGATGATCAGTGTACCTGCAGGTATCAGTAAAGTCAATGTAGTGCTTTTTAAGGCCTTTTTTAATGCTGCAATTTAAGAAATACAGAAATAAATGAAGACTGATTTTACATACATAAAAGCACACAAATACTATAAAGAGTCCTCAGAGGGGAAAATTAAATACCTGAAAAATGTAGGATGTGGGTCCTTTTAAGTGAGGAAATGTACCCAATAATGCACAGCTAATGAACTTGCAGTCTGGCACACTCAAGCCTGAAAAAGAGTGATGTGCTGATCTTCTTTGCAAAACAATTACATTTAATTTATAGAAATCACAATCGCAATATCAGTCAGATTTTTCACCAGATTATTCAGCTCTAGCTCTTCCACTGATCTTTGTAGGACTGGGTGTTCAACGTTTTTGAGACATTATTGCCAATGCAGATTCCTTCCTTATAGATTCCTGAACAATACCTTTTTTGATACCTCATTTGAAAATTGCAAACAAAGTGGCTGTGGTTTAACAAGAACTGAGTATGTGGTGCTGGAAGTGGAATGTTTACAGATTGCACCAGATTACAGAGTAATTAATAAGATGTAATCTGAAGTTTAATCTGATATTATTAGCATGCATGTGAAATGTAATTTAGACAGCCATTCGCTGAGTTAGATTTTAGAGCAAGGATGTCTAATGGATCACAGATGTAGTAATGAAATGTGTCATTGAATGACACAGATAATAATAATGATAACATTAATATAATTTGTTTGGTACCATAAACATATTGAATTTTGATATCCAGCACTAGATCTTTGTAGGATGCTCAGTTATATAGAGCGCAACTGTGTCTACTCTTCCGTTTACCTGTCTGTGGACTGAGGCTTTAGAAATCCTTTCATAACCCATTTCCAGTCATTTGAACTTCACCAACTTTTCTTCTAAGGTGCTGTGAAAATTCTTTTTATCGGGTCATATTGTACTTGCAACAATTCTGTTGTGAAAAGCAGTTAAACTAAATTGGGTTCTTTTTATATAGTAAGACAGGTCAAACTTGCACCTGAAGAGATCAAAACATATGACTTCAATTACCCTCCTTTGAAGAGGTTATTATCCTGGAGGTTCACATACTTTTTCCCCATCAATGACCTTTGTTCAAACCATTTGTTAAATAAAGATATGGCGGTATAAAATACTGTGTGCGTTACATGTTAAATGAGACTCATTTATTATTACGACAAAGATGAAGATCTCGTTTTAGGAACCATTCATGCCGAAGTCCAGATCATTCCAAAGGGTTCACACACCTGAATTATGTTTTTAAATGTTCTGCGCTCTCGTGTAATGCTAGAAAATATTGACGTGGAATTCCACTAATTTTTCAAATATTTTGCATAATTCAGTTCATGTAAACAAAGTCATTCAGAGTGGTTTGATGTGAAATTGTGCATTGTAGAGAAACATACTGATTTTTTTCTTACAGTGGTGGTGATAGGAACCAGACCACAGTGTTTACAACACAAATTTTATTTACTGTCCAAAATGAACAGTGATGTTACGTCTTTGAGTTTTTATGTTGTTGATGGTAAAATAGTCATATATTTTGAAAAAATATGTTTTCTTTGGTACTGTTTGACCTTACCCTGCATATACCTCCTCACAATGAATTAAAAAAAACCTTTAATTCAAAAACCTTCTGAAAACTGTCATAAAACAATGCCTCAGGGCATTATTGTATTATTATTATACATTATTATATTATTTAATTTCCAGTCAAAAAGGCCAGTACTTTTAAGCTATTCATTTTTCAAGAGATTTCCTCCTCACGTCTAAGATTAGATATACGATAATCCACTTACATAAGGTAGGGAGAAGTCAAAGTAAAATAAGTGGGGGGAAAAAACTGGAGTTCCCAAAGCTGAAGTTCAAGCAAAATGGGAGATTTAAGCTGGACATACACTACATGACTTTTAAAATCCTAATAGATTTAGAAACCAGAGAGCATCACACACGTAATGTCCATCTTCAACAGAATTTACTGTAAATTTGTTATGAGTACAACGCACATAATGAGTTTTGGCTTCAAAAAGCACTCAAAATAACAAATCTCACCTGTTCTCACATGATACAAACAAAGCTAAACTGGACTGGACCTGTTTGTGCTTTTATGCACGCACTGGGGATGAATATGAGGTTGAAATGCAGATATCACAGTCAGAGCTGGAGAAATATTTTACTACAAACTGGCTGCTGACCCAAAATTGTAAAGAGAGTGATTGTTCTGTCTCAGCGGAGCATACTCATCTTTCTTCAGCTTTCTTCTCTCTCCCCCTAGCTCTTTCATTGACTATTGCCTGAATCACTCTTTCAGTTATATTGCTGACCATCTCACGCTACAGGACTCCTGAACGTTTTTGAGGTGTAAAAATCAAACGTTTGAAAATATTGACGGTCCTCCAATCACTTCAGAGCTCAATCGGAAACCTAAGGATTGACTCATTTCCCTTGTCCCACCACCAGATCATTTGTGCCTTCAATCATTTCCGATCGACTTGGAAAGTTTCTTCAGATTGTGAAAATTTGTCAGAAGGGGCAAATTGTGCTAAAAATCGTACAGTGTAGGCCCAGTTTTAGTGTTGGTTTTCTGGACCAACTAGATTAATCCTAGTCTTGGACCCAGTTCAACCCCCTGGTTCTACCCCTGCCTGGGAAGTGAAATGGGACTAAAAATGGGACAAACAACTGTGCAAGACCTGCTAGACCACCAAAACCATCACCATCAAATAAACAGTCCTAAAAGCTTTCATCTTTGAGAGAGAGGAGAAAATCAAGCTTCACTGTTCAGATTCAGATCTGAAAAAATCCACAGGTGTTTCTGTCCATGCTTCCGTTGTCAGAAGACAGCTCAGCACTATGAGTCTGAAAGGATGTGTAGCTGTCAAGAAGTCATTAGTGAGAAAATAGAATAGAATATTGGAATAGTGGAGTGTCCCAGACTTCAGCATTACTGAATATGTTCGGGACTTCTTGGATTGTGAGATGCAGAAAATAGAACCAACTTCTAAGACTGAACTTTGGCAAAGTGGAAAAATATCCCTGCATATTTCTATGAAAAACTGAAAGCAGGTCTCTCCAAAAAGAATTAAAGCTGTGATAAAGACAGAGTGCCACACTAAATGTTATATTTAGTTATTAAGGCTTCTGTGCCATTTTTTGTTACATAAATGTTTCTTTCTGATGCTGAAAAATGACTTGTACTTAAAGGCTGGGGATAAATGGAAGGTGCTCTCTGACTTTTGCGCAATACTCTAGATTTTAGAGGCATTTTGGACATCTGGTTCCTATCATCTCTGATGTGAGCAATTCTGACTCAAACAGTTTCTTTAAAATGACACATTTCAAATCAAACCACTCTGAAAGACATTATCTATATCTTGACCATTTAATTTTGCAGACATTTTGTAAAATTGTGGAATTTTAATGTTTGAAGGCTGAAGTATTGTGACATGGTTGACTGTGAGAAGTTTGCTAGTACCCTGTGTGTGCAGTGCTTTGGTTATGGCTATAAGGAGTCTCAGTCCTGGGGGAGCAATTTCAGAGTGACTGTGCTGCTGTATTAGGCATAGTTATGTCCAGGAAACATTTCCAGTATTCCATTCCACTTTTATGCATATGATAATTTCATTGCCCTCCAGCCTAATTATATAGTCTAACACCACTTTCAGTTCTTCAGTGCACAAGTACTAGTTAGTTGCTGAATTTGTTAACAGGTGAAGCTTTGCATACATCCGATTTTTACATTTAGAATATTTATATTCCTAAAATAAGGATGTTAATAGAAGTCCTCTGTTGAGAAGCTGCTTCTGTAGACTTCAGTGTCTGTAGGTAAGTTGATCAGAGTCCTTCGTTTTGAAAGGGCTGTATTGGGAGCGTGAAATATATAAAAATGGGCTTTCTTACTGAGGGCTTTGTTCAGCAATGTGTGGACACCCCTCCTAATTATGAAATTCAGGTGTTTCAGCTACACCCATGGCTAACAGGTGTATAAAATCAAGCACATAGCCTTGCAGGCTCCATAGACACTGGCAGTAGAATGGATCATACTGAAAAGGAGGGATAATGGTCTGAGGTTGTTTTTCAAGGTTTGGGCTTCGCCCCTTAGTTCCAGTGAAGGATAACATTAAAGCTACAGCATACAAAGACATTTTAGACCAGAGGTGCACAACTTTAGTCCTAGAGGGCTGGCATCCAGCACAGTTTGGTGATTCATCTGCATCAATACACCTGATTCAACTCCTCTGTTAATTGCCAGGTTTAATGGATGCGTTTGAGTAGGGAAACTACCAAGCTGTGCTGGACATTGGCCCTACAAGACCTGAGTTGTGCACCGCTGTTTTAGACAATTATACGCTTCCAACTTTGTGGCAACTATTTGGAGAAGGCTCTTTCCTGTTCCAGCACTACTGTCCCCCTATGCACAACAACATGGATCGATGAGTTTGGTGAAACCTAGAGTTTTAGAACCCTGACCTCAACCCCACTGAACAGCTTTGGGATGAATTGGAACATTATAGGCCTTCTCGTCCAATGTCACTGCTTGACCTCACACTGCTCTTTCGGCTGAATGGACACAGATTCCCACAAACACACTTTAAAATTGGAAAGCTTCCTAGAAAAGTCTAGGGTGTTACAGCCACAAAAATGGGATCCAGCTCCATATTAAAACCAATAGTTTTGGAACGGGACATCCAACAAGCTCATATAGGTGTGATGATCAGGTGTCCATATACTTTTGGCCATAGTATATTTGCTGTATATGCAATATACGATGCTGACGGCGATGTGTATATGTTTTTTTTATATGTGGGCGCTTCTGGTCAAATTACATATCCTTTATGGAGAATACACTTCTGCACATTTTAATGGACACTTATATTTAATTTATTATATTAATTTATTTAATGGACACATTTATTTGCTGAATTTAAAGCTGCAACCAAGATTTTTTGTTGAAGTTGAAAGAAATACTGTATCATCACTAAGGGAAAATAACACTCTACAATATGATGTCCATGCACTGCTGACCCCGTAGCACATGTAGTGTCCCGCTCTGTGATAAATGGTGTTTTGTTTTGATCCTCACATGCAGTGGATTTCCATTGATAGCAATGGGTGCAGTGAGAGGGCATGAACAAGCATTATACAAAATGTCTGCGAAACCTAGAGACTAAAGCCAAGACTATTGCAAATATTAAGAGTTAAATATCACTGGTGTTTATTTAGTGGATTTACCTGAAATATGAACATAGAGGCAGAGCCCTACTGCTGAACCTTTAACATTTTCCTTTCTTTTTCTGTCCTCTCTCTCATCCTCCCTCTAGGAGATTCTGGGTGGACCCCATGCTGCAGAGCAGAGATATGACTCTGAGTTTTTTAAGAAGTTCCGCAATCAGAATATTGTTGTGTCAGCAAGAACCTACGCCAGGGTAAACCCCTCTTCTTTTGTTCTCTGTGTCTGCCTGCTCTGTGTGTGTGCGCCAGAGTCCTGGAGTGTGAATTATAACTCACCGTTTCACACTCTCGCATGTGTCTGAGGGAGAGAGCTTGCCAGGTGTTGTAAAATATGGATTCCCCTTCATACTATGAGAATATTTCTGAGTCAGGATGCCTGAAATATGGTTACTTCGCTACCTAAAAAGACCACTAGTGATTTATGTGGTAAAAATTGCTGCTTGGAATAATAGCCCACATATATCCCAGTGAGACAAGCTGACTTATATTAATTGTTTATTTATTTCCCTCTCTCTCAGGAGAGTAACGTGCAGGCTCTGGACATTCTCTTCACCTATCACGGCTCTGAGCTGCTCCAGCATCGACTCGCCATCCTGTGCAATTTTCCAGAAACCACCTCTCCTCACGAGTACGCTGCTCTTCTCCCTGAAGCCTGGTAAGAGTTGTGTATGCACTGGGGCAAGAGATGCACTTTAACTAGACTTTTTTAAGTCTTTGGAGGTTAATACAACGCGCTGTATACTGTTCACTTACTTTCAATTTTATTTTTGGTTAACGAAGTTGTTTGGAAAAGTAGCTACGAGGCTAGAGACTGTTTTTGACTTCTTGTCGCTGCCGCCAGTACCGTTTACTAAATGCTGTCCTGCAGTGTTTTTCACCCTCCACTCACGTGTGGTTGGAAATGAAACTATCACGGAAATGTTCTGTTTTACAAAAAATTTACATTCTGGTTTAAAACTGATGTTAGCAGAAATGGTGCATTTAAAGGTACGAGAAAGGAGCAGCTGCTGTGTTGTATTAGAGCTGTATCAATCATATTTATTTATGATTAACATATAAAGCTAAAGCTGTCAGTTTAGAGTGTATACCACTATGTACATCTGAAAACTGAAGTGAACACACTGCAGACTGTTAAAGTGACTGTTGGCCAAATAGTCAGGTCAATGGAGTATTAGAATCTTACCTAAATACTTACATGAATAGACTCTGATCAGAATGAGGGACATTTCTAAATAAATTGTAAAGTGATGCCTAAAGTGTTTAAAAACTTTTGTATATATTAAAATAACCAGAATAATTCGCCAACCAAAAATATCCAGCCATCAGTACTCCTGTGGTTTAAACTGGCTGCTGATGAACTGATAACAAAGTCAAACACACTGAAAAAGACGGTGTAAGGATCATGCAGTCTCAAAGCATGTATCTGTTTTCTTTCATCCAACATTTCAAAGTTAAATCGATGTTTTAATACATGCAATACTTAAGGGTGTGCATTGTTATGCAGTGGAAATGGTATAATTTTTCTTATGCTAAGGTCTTAAAAAGGTATTAAAAAGCACTGTAAATTGTGCAGCGACTAAGTATGTAAGTAAAGTAAGCTCATCCCCATCAAAGAGACAAAAATGCAAATTCAAGTTTCAAGGTGGATGACGCTAGAGTTTTTAGTTACACAGCATACTGTTGTCCATTTTTTAACAGCATTCAAATGTCATATTGCATTGCATGGCAAAGTCTTCAGAATGTCCATACTGGAAACATCAAGAGCGTTTGTCAAGTCAAAATGTAAACAAACCATGGACCTATCAGAAAAAGACTCTCTACTGATGGAGCTGTCTAGATATTGATATTGATTTAGTAGTGTGTTTAATGAGTTATGTTTTATCCCCACATGTAACATAGTCATCTAAATGGGGTTCTCAATCCCAGTTGTGGTGACCGTTTGCTCTCCACATTTTTGTGGTTTCTCAACTCCACATACCTGACCCAGCCAACGAGGATTGAGTCGAATCTGGGCTGCTCAATGAGACAAAGCACAAACATGTCTTGTGTTGGGTCACCAGGACTGGAATTGGGAACAGCTTGTTTATGTTACTCAGCTAACTACCTAAGTATTTGTATCAGTTGCTCAACAAACAGTAGTCACCTCTAACTTTTATCATGCTGGCAGTTTCTCTCCAAAATGTTTACTGGAGGATTGGTAGAGATCCTTTCTTTTCTCCACTTCATTGGAGAGTTTCTCGTCTTCTATTTTGAGGTGGAACAGCAGAGTGACACAACGCGTCGAAAAAAGAAACGAGGCATCCGTCAAGAATGGCACGTCGCGTCTTACTGCGTTGTGCTCTCTGATTCGGAGTTGGTGTCGACAGTTTCATAATTATAATGGGAGCGTTTTGGTTTCGCTGGTTGTTCCTCGCTGGTGTCGCTCCCTTTTAGTACATAGTGTAAAAATGCATCAGAGTGTCAGAAGTCACATAAACAAGTCTATTGGAAATTACTTGACAGCCTGACAAGGTTTGAGGCAAATGCATACTGATTTAGGCATGCAGTTTGCACAGTGCTAATTGGTTGGGTAAAAGCTTCTATTTCATGTTAGCTGCATTAGTCTTGTAGCTCCAGGGCAAAACTAAAGAAGCAAACTTCAGATTCTAAAAATTGGCTGATTGAGTATATTTAGGTCCAGAGGATAACTGTAAACTCTCACTGAAATATTGCTTGAAAGGTGAAAATTGACAGCAGGTCTTATCAGACTATCACTAGCCAAGTACTAATGAAGGTAGATAAATTAGTTCTGTTGTTAGTCGGTGTTTTCTCCTGATTAATTACAACTTTAGTGAGAATACTGCTGTTGCTGCGAGCCAAGCACAGAAAAACATGAACAAAACAATCTATCTTCCAGTGAGCAATTAGGAGACAAGTGTTTATACTTTTATTTAACAAATTACTGTAAAATAAGATCATTTCTTTTCCAGTTGACACAAACTCATTATATTACTTTAGTTTAGATTAGTCTGCTTCCAGCTACAATGTTCAGAGTTGCAGGAGCACTGCATGTTATGTAACTATTAAAACCTTGGTACACACTCTTGAGCCAACAACACCTCCACACAAGTAAACGCAACACCTGTGCAACCCTACCTAGCCAACTCTAAAAACTAGTTTTAAGAAAGTCTAAAAAAAAGTTTTTGCTTTGTGTCTTTAGATGATCTGGTGGTTCGAAAGAAAAGAGATAGAGAAGAAAAGATGGATGAGAGTAAAGTAATGTGGAGAGAGGCAGGCGAACGCACAGACCAGTTACAAAGACAAGTTTGCAGCCTGCAGCTTGTGTTCATTTGTTTATCAGTGGGTCACCTCCAGATGTACTCCCCCTAGACAGACAGATTGATAGATGTACTTTATTGGTCCCCAGGGGGACATTTAGGAAGTGCTTTCACATTTTCTTTGATAGACCACCCCCTAAAAATGGATGAAGTGTTCAGAGGCAGGCTGCAAATTGCTGTTGTCCCGGAGAGCCCTGTCCTGCACATTTTAGTTTTAGAGTTTTCCTGCTCTAAAACTGCGTTTCAAGTCAGGAAGGGTATGATAATTATCTACACTCCTTGTCCATTTTATCAGTTCCACTTACTATATAGGTGCACTTTTTAGTTCTATAATTACACACTAATTTAGTTCTCTCACACACTAACACACCACTATGGACAAAATTATTATGGCCAGAATTAATTAGTAAAGCTAATAATAATGTCATTTTTTATAATATATGATATGTAGCACGGTATTTAATTTTTTTGTTATTTATTAACACACAATAGTAGTAATAGTAATAATAATAATAATGATAATAATAATCTATAATGATAATCTATTAATCTACAGCTACAATGATTTTTTTCATTTGTTACAAATTGCACTGCATTGAATACAGCTAAATAAGTGTACTGAGGACTGACAATATCTATATGTTCAGAAAAGTGTATTCTGACATAATGTATCATGAACGTGATAAAATATTATATTGCCCACCCCTACAACTACATCAGCCTGCTAAACTTGCAATGTTGCACTGTAAAACATACTGTACAGGCTTGCTGTTGTGTTATTTGTGTTATTATGTTGTCAGCTTTCTGTCTGGAATAACCATTGCTGTTCGACTGGACACCTAATGTTGACAAAAGAGTCTGTCTGTTCTCTTCTTTTACTTTTACTTTTATATATTCATTAAAAATGTACCACAGAGAAACTTAACAAATGAAACAAAACAGAGCAAACAAAACAAACATAACAACTAACTAGCTAACCAACCTTTTTGTGAGTAGTGTTGCTTTTTTAGCTATCTGACTGAATTCGTGTTTTGCCAGTTCTTTTTTATTGCAGTTCGCTCTTTGGCTGTGTCAATCAGATTGAAGATTTATACCAAAAATGCTTGATATTTGAGGTCGTATCCCATATTGAAGTATTTTTTTTTAGTTTGAGTTGAATTATAAGGCAGTCAAGGGCAAGTTGCGAGTCAGTCAACATGCGACTCAAAGATCAAGTCAACTTGAGTCTCAGGCTTATTCTTAAATGCAGTTTTGAGTGTTTATTTTCGGAGATTGTTTGTTGCGTTAGATTGCAGTTGAACATTATTGGGCTGGTTATTGAAGAGTTCAGTTCTGTGCGTGTGTATACCCTGTGCATATTTTTTTGCAAGCGTAATGTTTTCGTTAGTGGTCTGGCCTGAAGCTTTTCTAATGCAGGGCTTTCTCCATAACACTCGCACTTCCCCCACCCCCCAGCACCGCCTGTGTGAGACAGGGAACACAAATGAGCTGCTTTTCGGTGTAGACATGGTCCCTGTCTAAAGAGCTGTGTGGACTTCATCACTGACCTCAGCCATTAGGCCTGATCCAGGTCGGGGCAAGCAGGGTGGAGGAGGGGTTTGGCCAGAACATCTTAAAGCCATCTGCTCCATGCCAGACAGCCCACGGATCCGAAAAGCTTCTGATGCTGACTCATGGGCTGAGCTGCTGCCAAAGGCAACATGCAGAAAGGTGCAAGGTCATTCCAACTTTGTCTACTCAACTTCCGACAACTTTGGAAAGGAAATGGAATTCGATGTTCTACAACGCTGTTTTTCCTTCTCGAGCTATGACTTCAACTTTTTGTTCCAATAGCCAGTTCCTAATAAAGCAGGTTATAGGACAGCAAAGGCTGTGGTTATTAGAAGACGTGGTTATTAGAAATATGCACTTACTCTAATTATTGGTTATTAGGGGTGTTAAATTGCATCACAACGCATTGATCTGGAGATAATGATTCAGTTGCATCAATTTTGGCATATTAAAATTGATGTTGATCAACGTCTCACGTGTTAAACTGTAATTATAAAATTTGAGGAAAAAAGTTGACATTGTACAAACGTTTATTACACAGTGCTGTAGTTCTGTCTTCAGGTTTAGCCTAGTGACCTAATGGGTATTTAAATCAGCATTTAGTAGGTGTGCAAAATAAAATGACCAATGAAAAATATACCTAAAATACCTGAAAACTGTAGCTCAGTGCTCTCTCACTCAGTGTATTGTCTTACTGGGTGTTATTTTACTCTGCTTATGCTACTACAACAAGTGCTTTTAACATGCCTTAGATACACTGAGAGGTCTGAAATAACTGATTGCTGCT